TGTGTGTGTGTGTGTGTGTGTGTGTGCGTGTGTGTGCGTGTGTGTGGTTTCACAATTCTTTGTTGTTCTTTCTTTCTTCTGTGGGTTGTTTTGTCTGCCTGGGAGTTTTTTTTTTTTTAAACAAATCTGGTTTTGATTTTGTGAAGGATGACATCCTCTGTCCCACTCCTCATCCTTCTACCCTCTCTCTGAGAAGAATGCCATTTGCTATTTTTTGCTTGGTTTCAGGTCCTGCTATGGTCTCAATATCTTGTTACCAATTTCCCAATGCCTAATTTAATATTCTGGCTTTTATGGAAGCTTATTGAATATGATAATAAAGCTTAAAAGAAAACTGAACTGTGTTGTTAAACTAAAACTAAGCCAAAACAGAAACCAGAACTTTCTGTAAATGTGTCTGTTCGACTATCCAGCTTAAGAATTTGACCTTAACAGCAGCGCTAACATTAAGACTGACTAACACTTGCGGGTCATTAAAACGCTATAGTCTGGCTATAATGGAAAAGTTATATTACATCAGGGCTCTGCTGAGAACCCTGGAGGAGGACTGAGGTTAAAAGTGACTCATTTTTACGCCTCTTCCCCTCCACATGAAACTCTCAACTTTCCGTAGGATGAGCAGCAAATGAAATATCATGACTTGTTTATTCCAGTTTTTCAGTTCACTCTATCTTCGTCAACTTTCCTATAAACTGATATGTTGAGCATTAGCAGGGTAATAAATGTATTCTCTATGTTGGATCCTCTGTATTAAGCTGTCACCAAGTGTTCAGTCTTATGTCTGAAATTACTGCTGCTGGATGTGAAACACTCCATTCTCAACATCTTCTTTCAGAACTTCCTCCAGTTTTATAGAGGTTATTCCTGTTGTGACATAAGATTACTTTTTTCTTTATACCTCTTCCCACATAAAGCGTATAATTGTACAAAATGATCCCCATACTTGTGACAAAAGGATTTTAATGAAGATTGAGTCAGGTTCTTGATGAGGGTTGTAACAATGAGGATTAGGACTTCTCCTTTTGACCATTAATAGAGTTAATAACAGGCCTATCAGGCTCACTCTGGGATCTCACTGATGTCTGTTGCAGCTGAGTGTTTATTGTTCCTTCGTTTTCACTACCCATAATACCCCTCTCCCACCCCATAAATTTCTCTCTCCCGCTGTGCTACTCCTTTGGTCTGTCCTTTTTCCTGTATTATATTTCTTTATTTCCTTTCTCTTAGGGTAGAGTCGGGTCCTCATGTTGCCATGACAAAGGCTTTCATTACTGTCCAGGTTTAGCGGATGGCGTCAAAGAAATGAGTTTTCTGAGAAATGTCAATAACTTAAAAGAAAAGAACAGGCAAAATTCAGAAGCCCTATATAGATAGAGAATCATCCAGGAAAAGCTTATTATGCTTTGTCTCAGCTCGCGCTCTGCTAAAGTGAGCACATCGAGGGGAAAGAAATGCACAGAGAAGAACTGTAGATATTACTCCTTGATTGTCAACATTTGGTGTAAGAGTCTTTTAAACCTTAATTTCTATCTCCTTAGATTCTTTCAAATATTTTTTATTTATTTAACTCGTTTCTCTATGGACATCCAAACTTTTCTTTAATAAGTGGCAAACAAATGAGCAGGTAAAGAGCTAAATGTTTCCATCAGGGTTTCGATAGAGAATAAAATATATATAATGCACTTACATTTATCAAATGCTGCTTCATATGTTTCTGACATAGAGGAAACAAGCCTTTGATTTAAATTTATCTTAAAATTGTGATGAAAATGCCATACTTCCTGAATGAAGCTTTAGAAAATACATGTTTAAGAAAGGGGCCCTCAGGACTTTAAGAAATATATAGACTAAGACTGGCTTTCTTTCCTCTACAAGCCAGATTTGAAATCCCCCCTCTAATTGTTCGATCGAATAAGCAGACATGAGTGGATACATAGCTTTCCCTTTTGCTGTATATTTTTCAGCAAAAGTTTAAATACAGTGTCCATGGTTGAGATTAGGGAATGGGAAAGGTCAAGCAGCCCAAGTTCTCGATATATGTGGGCTGCATAATGTGGTCTAAAGTATGATTTTATCATCCTCTTGAGTCCACATCTGCTAATGGGGGTAGATAGAGAATAAGTGTTATAGAATAAAGCCTCCATGGAGTGCCCCTGCAGTCCTGCTCGACCGTATATGTGTGTGTGTGTTTTCAGTGAGAGATTCGTAATAGGTGATTCCCCCCTCCTGGTTTAAAATCTGAAAGTAATGATGTAGAATGGATTGGGTTTATAGAGGCATTATGCCTACCTTTTACTTCTTTACTTGCTCTCCCAAGGAGTTTTTTTTTTTTTTACCCCCATCTCTTTGTGCACTGTGTCCCCTTCTCTCTGTTTTTATGGTGGCATTATCGTCTCCCTCCCCCACCCATTACTGTTCAGGTTGGAGCAGAATAATAAATTTCAGGATCATGCCGATGCAGCGTTTTTTCAGTTCATTCTGTGGACTCAACAGAAATGCAGCAAAGAAACACTACAAGACAACAAAGATTGTTGTGCATGCCTGTTCTTTGGGGTTTTTTTTACATTTAAATTGAGTTTTTTCATTTAGGAAACACAGTAAAATCAGGAGTTGAGGTTTTGAATGCTTTGCTTAAGAAAAAACATTCTCACATTAGCAAATACACTTGAATTACTAAGTTTGAAATATACATAACATCCTTTTTTTATTTTTTCTGTATATTTTCTAAACTATTATTTTCTTCTCCATCATTTTCTCTTGTTGTCCTGCTTTTTCCTTTAATTGTTGTAAACCAACCTTGGAATCCAGAGTTTCTCCCACTTCTCTGTTGGTTTTGTCTTTTAAATCTCCATCTGCTCTCTGCTATTGCAGCTTATTCTCTGAACTTTGAATATACTCACAATCAGCTGAGCCCGACGAGCTCCAGAGGAGTGTGATAAACATTTCCTATCTGTGCACCTACACTGAAAGCTTCTTTAAAAAGGAATATTTCATGAATTCCCTTTTATATGATGTCAGTCCAAATTGAATGACAATGGTTTTCTTTTTCAATCTGATGTGGTTGTCGAGCATCTCTAACCAACTTAAATTCCGTTTGACTGCTTCTGTCTCTCTGTAGCTGACAGCCTATGGGGGGAGTGTGGCCTTCACTGTGTCGTACACGACAGACCAACAAGAACAGATGGCCATTAGAGTCACCTCAGAGCCTGACCTTATCATAGAGGTAGGTTTTAAACATTTGAGATGTTGCAAAATATCGTACTGTGTGTGTGTTCAGTATAAAGTGATGATTGTATTTTTTTTTAGGATGGTGAACGCTTTAACTGATATAGATATATTATAAGTAATATATTATATTGTAAGTTTATTTTGGAGCCACGTACCCATCACTAGCTTTCTTAAAGTTAAGCAGGCTTGCTTCTTCATACCTGTAGCAGTACATTATACTGTGGATAATCAGAGCCTACACAATGTCCTTAAAGAAAGAATGTGATGGGATGAATGTGCAAAGTTGATTTTCAAGCAGCAAAACTTCTAAACCTCTCATTTGACAAGAAGTTTTTTTTAGAGCTTGACAAGAAAAATAATCAGAGAAACTCTTGTGAGTGTTTGTGCATTTGTTCCTCAGCATTATTTTCTTTACCAACGAGCCAATGACATTTATTAGGTGAAAAACACTAAATAAAATGGTGAACAAATAAATGGGCATACACACACATAAGCAGCTTGCAGAGAAGTGCTGAACTTAGCAATAAAAAAATGCAGATGGAATCTCTTCCACCTTCTCTCTGTATGTCTTTATAATGAGCAGGTTGCAATATGATGCATGGTAGGAATAAGCAGCGACACTATTAGTTAACTGTTAAAGTCTCCAACATCACTTAACAGCGCTGTGTGTTTATTTCTGTGAACATGTGGTACACACAAAACAAACACAAATAGGCATGCGACTTATATTGGTGTGAGCGTTTGCACTGCGTCAGGGCTGTAAAGATGATTTCTACTACTGATGACTTAGCTTGACATATTTTAAGAAACCATGTACCATAATGCGAAACTTTCTAATGCTCAGGCAGTGACTTAAACAGTTAAATTACAAAAAAAGAAAAGTCAGTCCTATTAGATCTGAGATTCAGACTGAGTACTGTCTGTCAACAACACACAAAGGTAATAAAGAAATAAAAAAGCAGCAAAAAATGGAAGATGGATAGTCACAGGCCAGTAAGCTTGTGTTATTTAAAGACATGTCAGTGAGATCGACAGACTGGGAGGAGGAGGAGAGGAGGACAAGTGTCGGTCTTGTTGTCAACAAAAAGCCTCTCCAAATGACGACAATAATGAACCACCTACACACTGTCAGCCAGTTTTCTCCCTCTTCACTATCTCTCTTTCAGCCTTTGTCTCTCGTGTGTTTTCTCCTGTTTCGGTCACTGTTTACTCTCTGCATATCTGCACCAAGTTGTGAAGTACTTTCTTTCATGGTTTTGTGATGTGCAGGGAGATGCCTCTGGCTTTGTATTTAAACAGAATAGTTTTTCTTTTCTTGGAGGATTGTTTCTGTGTCTTTTAGTTGATGCTGCACAGCTCACCGTCCATAGAAATCTGTGAGAATGCCAAGATTTTGGTCACAATAATAGCAACAATCAACGCTCTGTGCTCGAAAATTGCTTTTTTTGGTCTCTAGTTTGGATTTGAGAAGAATGTCATTTGGTTTCCATTTTCCTCAGAAATGTAAAATTGCACTTCAATAAGTAACTTATCAGTCTTCCTTTGTACTTACACCCAGCCTCTTTCATTTCTTTATTTTGTTTCTCTGTCCTGTCACTGATTTATCTGTCAGTAGGACTCTCTCCTCATCATCTTTATCAATTAGTTTTCATTTAATGGTCTACTGGCCCAATAGCCCCCACCTCCCCATCGGTTGTTGTCACTTTGTGTTAGTTGCTACACGTCATTGATCCGTTCTCAACAAGAGATAGTCAGATAGAGGGCCTGGGCTCAGTTCACTTTTCATTTAGTCTTTTCTAAATGTCAATAGGAACTGCAACTCATTACGTAATGACACATAATTCAATCTGATTGTTATTACTGAGAACACTTATGATAGTGTGATAGCCATTTGAGAAATTAAATAAAAAGATGAAAGAAAGAGAAAATTTGGTTACTTGTTTGTTTTCTTCTTTCTTCCAGGGAGGAGGGATGAAGATTATTGACAAAAGGTTTGGCCAACCAGTGTATCCATCGTCTCAAAGCACCAATCATGTAGATCTCCTTCCAGAGAATTTCCTGCTTAAAGAAACCGGACAACCAATCAGTCGGCGAGATTTCTTGACTGTGTTGGCCAATGTGACGAGTGTGATGGTGCGGGCCTCTTACAGCACAGAACCCAGCGCTGTGTACAGGTAGGAAGCATAACCTGTGGGATGTTCTGTGGTAACGGGGAATGTACTTTCTACTTTTAGGTTCAAGACATGAAAGGATTTCAGTCCAAGAAGGGACTCCTGGATAGCTCTTTATTACAGCCTATGACTACTTTTAACTGTGTGTTGGCTGAACAAAACACAGACTGTATGGATGGAGCTTATTGCTGCCTGAGAGTAAATTCTTCCTCAGAGAATTAACTCTGTATAATAAAGTTCTAAAAAGCCTAATCAGCTAAACAGACTCAGTTATCCACAGAAGTGTGTACATTAGGGTGAGATGATGGATATTCTACCAGTGTGACCAAAGTTTATACTTAATATTTCTATGTGTGTGTCTGTGGGGTGGGTGTAGACTCCACTCATTCTCAATGCAGGTAGCAAACCCCACCGCCCGAGGAGAAAGGAGAGCGTTGGCTGTAGAAGTGTGTTCTTGTCCACCTGGGTATGCTGGAACTTCCTGCGAGGTAAACAAACAAAAAATGAATACAGATATAAATTCTAGGACCACAATTTCAAGAATCATTACATTAGAAATAATTAAAATAACCATAAAAAACATGTTGTAAGTAAAGTGTCGACAATCTGTTTTTGATTTTTTTCCAAATAATGATATGGAAAGTTACTCACTTTGTTAGAAACTATAGTTTATGTTCCTTATGTTTTGACAGTCTTTCTAAAAAGTATGACATATAGGCAAAAAAAATTAAACCCAAAAAGCACAGAACATTAGACACACACGCACCGCAGCAGCTTGACCTTTTTCTGTCTTTACAGTATAAAGTGACTTGTCTTTCAGACCTGTGTTCCTGGCTTTCGGCGAGTTAATGGCAATCTATATAATGGTGTGTGTGAACGTTGTCGTTGCCATGGACACGCCACACAATGCCACGAGGTCACAGGACACTGCGTGGTAAGATGATAAATAAGTTGTATCACCTATTTTCATGTGTTCTATGGACATTTTTCAAAAGATGTACCAGAATTAACGTTCTGAGAACAGCACGTGTAAAAGATGAATGTGAGGGCTTATCCATATTTGAGTTTATGAGAGAAGTTAGATAAAACTCAACCCAAATGTTTTGATTTATAAACTGGAGAACAATGCAATGTATCATTATTGACATTCGAATCAGCTGTTCTTTTCTGCTATGCTCATAGTCCATTTATTTTTGTAAGTATTTTAAATTCATCATTCTTTTTTACTCATTTATCAAAAGTTATGCAAAAAATGAACTAAATCTTAATTTTATGTTTTGTACAGTCAATACACTTTAACTTTTTTAGCTATGGTTGCTCTGCTGTCAAAAATCTGTGTCTCTCTTGTAAATTTGACCTTTTCCTGATTCAGCTAATTAGATGAGCGATTTGCATATCTAAGATCAGCCCTGGATTTCATGTTTTGGTATTTTTCAGACCATAATCATTTGTTATTGGCAGAAAAGCTCCACTATTTTTGGAAATGGAGTTTTGATGAATGAGAAAGTGTCGACCAAAGTTAGAGACTCTTAAATGAAAACATACCCTATCCTTTAAGAAATCTAGACGGTAGATTTCTTTTGTTTTTTAATTTGACAATGAAATGCTTTCATATTCGCCATCTAGTGGCCATTAGAGTAACTGCAGGTTTTGCACGGTCCCACATAAACCCTTGCACACTGCACAAACATATATTTAAACCCTCTCATGTGCACCTCCTCATAGTCACTCCCCAGTCTACTCATTGCCGTAGGCTAATACTGTCAGTTGGCATCAGAGTTGATACACAAACACAAATACACACTCCAGTGCGCACACACAGAGAACACACACTGAGAACACACACCGAGACCTGTGGGTTTTGTATTACCATGTTATGTTTCATTATAGATGAGGAGGATGGAACGTGTCAAAGAGAGACATGCTTTCAGAAAAAGACAACAGACAGACAGGCAGCAACACTGTCTCTCACACACACATTCTGAGACAATTTGACATGAGCTCACTCAAAGCCAAACTCGCATGTTCTGTATTCACACACAGGGACAGGTAGTCAGATGCACACATACCCGCACATATCTCTGATGACTGTAATTTGTGTTTTCAGCTGGATGACTGACTAATGTCATGAACTTGTGGGTTAACACAATGTGTATGTGTCAGAGTGTTTCAGCAGAGGAATGTCATTTGACATGCGATGAAAATGATTGAGAATATTGTTGATTTACACACACACAAAAACACCTTCATACAGCCACTATAGAAACGTGAAATTACATTTGTTTATGGTGGAAAAGGTAAAAACAGATATCTTTTTGGACAACAGAAAATAAGAAAACCATTTCCAGATGGGCCTCTATGTACATAGGGATGGAAATCTAATGAGAAATTGAAAACTTTGATTTAAAGAAAACAATGGTTAGATTTTTCGATGAATAATTAATAATGATAAAATTGTTGTATTTTCCTTACTCTGCCTCCCTTTTGCATCGATATGGGTGAATTTACATTCCCCATCCTGAATCCTGGAGATTCATGCACTTATTAGCATGATCATTTTGTGCACTGATTTGAGCTTGGTCCTTCACATTTTCATTAGTCATTGTACTTTCTACTTCCTTTAACGGTTCCTTCCTTTTCTGTTGTGTTGTTTACTTGGAAGGATAAAGATTAGTTGTTAAAAGTACTTTGTTAGGGTTTACAATGCATGACGATAGCATTAATCCCCTCTTCATGTAGATTAACTAAAGTGTGATTGTCTGCTGCAGGACTGTTCACATAACACTGCTGGACAACACTGCGACACCTGTCTGCCTGGTTTCTATGGCAATGCCACCATTGGGACGCCTGCAGACTGTCAGCCATGCACCTGCCCACTCATTCTTCCCAGCAACAAGTAGGTTCCCGAAAACCCCGGCCTTAATGCTAGTATGACTAAATTAATTGAATCTAGCCTTTGTTACTCTGGGGACCAAAATTCTCTCAGTTTAAAAGTCTTCTTCATGAGCTACTCCTCTTTTTGTACTTCTTCACTATAGTTGGAATATAATTGTTATGACATTATAAAAGAAATATATCCCAGCAGGTAGACAACTAAGTATATGTAGAGAAGCATCCTTGCTGTGGGTGGAAATGTCATTGACGTCATTACAATCAACATATCTGTTAAAAAAAAAACACCCCAAAAAATTATTGCAATACATGATGCAAACCTCTCCTATCTGTTAAGCCATAGTACGCAAAACAACCAGTAGCATTTTGTATTCTAAGTGTTCTAATATGACAACTGAACCAGCGCGTCCCTTGTGGGATGCATTTTAGCCTGAAGAAGTTGTCACACAATTACTGGTGTGTTTCCTCGCAGGGGTCACTACTAACTACTGCACAAAGATTAAAGGGCATGCATTCGTTGGGAGTTTGGAGATTGCAGGGCATAATTGTGTTGGTCTACACTGCAAATCACACTGACAAAAAAGTTGGAAGTGTGAAAAAGATAGGCACTCAGTCGGAATAAGTACAACACAGAGAGAAATCCCTGATTACACTAGACTAAGAAACCTAAAATGAGAAAAACAAAATCAGAGAAAGGAGTAAGTGCTGTAGGAGGCAGGTTTTGTTTATTTTATTTTTTACAATTGGAAAACCTCTACATATATCTTTATACCTGAGGGATAGTAAAATACTACAGCAGTATGAGAAAAACAGACACAGAGAAACAGGACTAATGTGTGTTTAGTAAATAGATAGTTAAGAAATGCAGAGATGTTAAACTGCAGTTTCTCCAGACAACCAGTGAGAGATGCTCCATTAAATGTAATCCGTTTTGCCACCCATGGACACATGCTCACAAACACACACAGGCAGCAGCAGCTGAGAATCTCCGGACAGTCATGCCACGTCATTTCCAAAACGCTACAAGCTAAACACAACTCTCTAGATCACTTCTCCCCTTCTGGCTACCCTCAAAACTAGCCATGACAATTATGTTCTCTAAAACCAGTAACATAAGAAAGCTAATCTGACTTTTTCCATTTTCCGTAGCAATGTCAAAGCTCTCATGGGAAACTCATTAAGTGATCTTTATATTAGTGTCAGCATGGAAAGCAGGGTGGTGATTTACACTGAATCAATAGAAATGAGTTTAGCCCTTGAACGCTGTTCCATTTATTTTCTCTGAGCATGAAGTCTCTTACTTCCTGTAGGACTAAAGCAAAATGTAATCTTTGTTGTTGCGTCCTCACCATTTACGGTCTAGAGCAGAGGGTGGTTGGAAACAATATATAAATCGAGAATAAAGAAGGAAATCAAAGAAGTTGGAAAAAGGAAAAAGTTGGACGATTTTATTAGAAATAGAGTTGACATAAAGAGGTTGCATTTTATTGACATCACTATTAACAAGATAATTCAGTTCCATTTAACTGCTGTGGGTTAATTGTATTATTCATAGAAAATATATTTCTGTAAATTGCAGGAAAATTAATCAGAGGACAAGTAAAATTTACCTTAACTTCTAATGATCTGATTGCCATAGTTGCATACAAAAAAACCCTGTTGTGGGCGAAACCTGATGATTAGTTTTTTTTATGTTTTTTTTTTTACAGTTCATTTTAATTTATTAGTAAAATGTTACAATCTATTTTTAGAGTTGCTATTGTGTTTCGGGAGCAAACTAGCTAACGAGTACGTGAACATGAAGCGACAGCCAAAAGTTCGACCTCAGGGGGAGATGTATCGTTACAGTCCATACTAGATATTATTAACAAGTACTATAACCTCTATATACTAATACTATAACTATACCTCCTCTCTATCTGTTACCCCTCTATATGCAGTCTGTTTGAGTCGACAGGTGTTTTCTTGCAGTCATTTTTCAGTGGAAACAAAATAGCACTGCCTTCCTGATGTAGCTGCTGTATCTTTGTCAGAGCTCAAGGCGTGTCCATCCTCTAGTGATCACACTTGTTGATCAATGGAAGGATTTTTCTCTCTCTGTTTTGCTTTGTTCTGCATCCTACATATATCCTCCTCAACTCTATAGACTTGTGGTCTTCTTCCAGACCACCTTTGGGCTTTAAAAAACTCAGTTAGTAGTTCTCAAAGGGCAAACAGCTTTCCCGTTGCCATGGTTATGTATCATAACTTATGTAGTAATAAGTGTCAGAGCAGAACATTTTCCACCGGCTATAAAATGTTTTAAAAAATCTGTGTTTTCACTGACCAAGTACTGACCAAGTACTTCAGATTTGTAACTGTAACTAAGTGATGTTAAAAAAAACTGATGGTAGTTATACAACTGTACTTAATTTCAAACAATGAGGCATAATATTTTCATGTTTATGTGCTCTACATGCACTCACCAAGCAAGGTTATCTTTAATCGACTAAACTGGTCATAATGAGCCAGTCTGTCAGCAAGTGAGTCAGTCTGGGGCCAGGAACCTGAGCCAGAAGAACTATCTATAGTTTTTGGAAGTGGGAGGGTGTCAGAGCAAGGGAAAATGACTATCACTTTACTTTGCTTCTCTCTCAGCTCATTTCGACAACCCTTGGTAGCATGGAAGAGTGTTTTTAAAGTCAGGAGTGTGTGAAAGTGCATGTATGTTTCCGTGTGTGTGAGGCAGAGGGTAAATGTTCATATTTATGTGTGAGAAAGTGACGGTAAAGACCTGAAAGTGAAAGCAGGGACACAGATGTATGTGTGTATTTGAGGAGAACCACAATGGCCTTAACTCACTTCTGTCTCCTCTTCCTCCTCTTCTTCTTGCCTATCCCCATGCTGGGACAACGCTACCAATTACGTAAACAACTTCAACAACAATTACAACAATACCATCATGGGAACCACAACAGCTTCAGCCCTACCTGCCACTTGGATGAAGATGGGGAGTTAATGTGTGACCAGTGTCCACCTGGCTATTCAGGACCACGATGTGACAGGTAAGTTAAGTTAAGCCCTCAGCTGTTTACCCTTAAACATGCACATCAATTTACCAGAGTCACATTTGTTTTTTTTTCTATAGTTCAATATCATTAACCCTTTAACAGCCTGCTCAACCATTTGGTAGAACACATTTTTCACTGATTACACTTGATTATAAGATATACAAGAGGAAGTGCGCATTTAGGAATGCAGTGCCTCAACTAGGTATGAGTTATGACAATTCTTTTTTGAAATGTAACACTTTTAGCCTAAAGTGTTGCCCCATTTTTGGAAAAAAGCATTGATTCTGGTTGATTTCCATCCTTTTTTCTAAGTATAGATGTTAAAGGGTTAAGATAAGGCTTTAAAGTTATGTAGCAAAAGTCATGTTCCATACCTCAATTAATTTAGAAGTGGTCATAGATGTAAACGCACAAAGCCATAGTCATTGTCATTCGTGAACTATGCTGGGCAGCTCATTAACGCCACTCTGAGAACTGTGCATCTTTTTTTACATTCAGCTGTCTCTTTATAGGAGATTTTATTAGATGGCACTCTTGTTCAGTTAGCTGTGGGCCTTTTTTAACAGCCCTGGGTGACTGGGAAGGATTTTGTCTCGATACTTGTTTTAGAATAGATTAGATTTTCTATTTTTTCTTTAAAAAAAGTGTCATTTAGTTTTTCTTCTGCTGTCTAGTATAAAGACTGTTGACTAAATAATGTCTCTACAAAGATTGATGTATTAAAAGATTTCTAGGTTAACAATAAAGATTCTATTTTAAGTTAGTTAAAGATCAACTGCAGTTAGTATTGAGTAAATAAAAACATTAACCAACTTCTCCTCTTAAGCAACCTAGACTTTGATAAGAAAAATAAAGCATAATTGTTTTCTATTGATAAAAGGGACAGTTTTAAAAGTTATAGAGTTTAACATAATATAGGTTAAAGCTAGGTCAGGTTGTTGACCGTGTAAATTATTTTACATAGCCAACCAACTCAAATTAGTTTTTGACTAATGGATGAAAATTAAAACTAAATTAACAATGTATTAAATATCAGTCGAGCAAAAATCTTTACTACTTTGCCACTGACTAAACTGAGATGAAGTTATGTCTGTTTAAGCTTAATGATTATTAACATAATGCTTCTGTCCCACAACCTGAAATAGCTTTACTGCACAGAATGTGCTGGCCACACTTTTCCTTTTATAGTATCTTCAACTGAGAGGAACATTTGTCCCGATTCAAACCACTGAAAGGATATGTTTTCTATTAAAAGCACTGCCTGCTCATATACACTGGACACTTATTCCACAGCTATACTGTCTTTAAGATGGTTAAATCCTACCTATCTATTTTTGCTGATTACGGATCACTTGTTTGTGAGGAGATTGTTTCCATATCGAGCAAAGAGGATAAAACAGTCTCAATATTCACTAGCTGGTTAAATTTTATCTGAAACATTGTGGATTCTTACTGAAACATTGTCCTCCACTCAGGTTTTAAGCCCCAGTTACCAAGGGTGTCATTATTTGCTGCTATTGGTGGAGACAGAGCCTGTGCTCAATGCCCGGCATAGTCTGCATACCCCGCCATCCTGTCCACAGCAGACTCTCTCTGTCTGCTTTGAGTCTTTTTTTAAACCTCATTTGCCAGTGAGAGAGGCAAACTGACTCATTGTCAGCCTCCTTTTTTAACTGAGAGTATCATCACCACCACATTACCATCCAGCCATCAAGCAATATAGTGCTCACTGACAGGAGGCCCGACCAAAACAATTCAACCACCCTTACTTTCTCCTCTCTTGTGTTGACATATGAAGCAGGGGTGTTCTGACCAGCTGTGCTGTTTTTAGTTTATTTATATGACATTTACTTTAATATACAGAATCTCTCTGAATTACGGTGATCTGATTCCTTTAATTCCTAAAGGAGACATGAAAATAAAGACTCTGGAAACAGGAGCTGATGTTATGTGACATAATGTTTTATAACTAATGGCAGGATTAAAGAGGTAATCAGCAGTTGTTGTTTCTTGTTCTATTAGTCTAATTGATGCCTTCTACCTACCATTACACTTCATTATCTGCAGTGTTTTTGTTGTTGTTTATGGTAATTAATTGTAATATGGCAATTTATTAGTATTATGGGCTTTAACAAAATAAGCCACTCTGTTCATCCCATCCTAATAGACTATATACACTTGCTGCTAAGTGGTTCTGCTTTTCAATTTTCTGTCCATAAACATCCATTTAAAAAATAGCTGAAAGCTCCCACAAGCCCCTGCTTGTCAGCTAAAACACATTGAGTCATAAACTGCTAATTAGGGTTTGCAGACATGCGCTTGGTCTGCATATAAGGTTGTTTTTTTATAGCGTATTTATTTGGATTGACTTGATGCCAACCAGCTGCTGACATAATGATTTACTGCCATTTTTCATATGATTTTATTCATTGATATAGCCCTTGTCTCTATTGTTGTGTTGCCAAGGGTATATTTTCTTGCAGATGTGCAGTTCTCCAAAAGAATTAACAAGACAAGAAGAACGTTTTTAACAGAGCAGTAATGTTTTTCCTCATAGAAAGCACACAACAATTCGAACAAGAAATGATAGAAATAAGTATTTCAAAATTATTTTGGCATTAGGAAATAATACCAGTTTTTCCCCAGGAGCAATTTTCTATACATAATGTTAAAAAGGACAGGCATAAAAACTATTATCTTCTAGCCTGCTTTTCTCCCTCTGTAACTCTGCACCAGTTATGCTCACCATCTATTCCCAACGCAGTCAAATGGTTTTGACTAGGTCTTTGACCCTCTCAGTATATTACCACTATAAATACCTTTATTCCTCTTGAGGCCCAATGACTTCCACATGCATGTACTCCCTTCAAAGAATAGAATAAGATCATATAAAATGGACTAAGATAGAAACTAGGCATCAAACTGGGGGATTCATATTGCACATAAGGATAAATACAGACATAAGCTCCTCCCCAATCTCCTGTCAAGAAATGATATTGCTTCTGGTACAATTTTCCTAGTCACTATTAAGATCCACTTGTGCAAACACACACCAAATATACACATGCAAACATACTCCTACAACATGCACACGCACACAGATACACACATGCAGAAGCTAATAAACCAGTTCTATTGAGAACCAAGGAGGGTCAGTGGTAATAATGACTGGCTGCTCTTGACTCTTTTCCTCCCTCTGCCCCTTCTTTTCCCTTCACTATAAATTCAATTCTCTTTTCAATGTGAAGACCTTTTCCCCCTCTCCATCTATTTCTCTCCTTTTCTCTCCTCTGCTTTCCCTTCCACTCATCTCAATTCCCTCTTCAGCCTGTAGAGCTTTATTCCAGTATAGACCCTCTTTATTTGGTTTCAGTGGCCCTTGTCACGGCACTGCGATCTCAGAGTAATTTATTTCCCTGCATCTGAGCATTCTCCAATTACTACTAAAATCAGAAGAGTCTGAAAAGAGAAAAAGAAAAATCTTGCAATTTAACAAGTAACACGTACTTTTGACCTTGAGGTCCATATGAATGTTTTAGATTTAGCTGAAAAAATATAACAAAAATGAAAAGGTAAAGCATTGTACCCTTTCTTGTAGTCTTGAAAGCTGTGGAAAAATGTATTCTCAGGTTCTGAATTATTGACTACACAATAGCAGAGAAAATTTGTATTATCAAGGAATCATGCACAACAAACTCTTTCGACGAAGAAAAATAACAGGATACCTTACAGGATGTCTCATTTCAACAACTCGGCAACGCAAAGCTTTGATATTGATCAGTTGGAGAGGGGCTTTTTTTTATAAATCCTGGTGCGTGAAACTGTTTGAGTGATCATTATGCTTTCGTACTGATGGTAGAATGGTTTTCTGCTGTTGTTATTTAGTTTTAGTTCCTATTTTCAAGCTCAATATTTTTTCAATGAGTTTTCCCCTCATTCAGGTTCTGAATATTTAAGTGAAAGTTTAAAGGCAGCACATAGCCATGTGGGATGGTGATCCATCACCATCCCCTTTTCTCTCTGTAGGGTCTATTTCAACAGTATTGAAAGTCTGTTTCCTTATGACTTATTTTGTTTCCAGGTCATGAAACATAACACTGAATTTCATCTTTCCTGCTCGTCTCTCCTGTCTGCTAGATGTTCAAACGGATATTATGGTCAGCCCAGTGTACCCGGGGGAAGGTGCCAGCCCTGCGATTGCAATGGCAACCTGGACCTATCTATACCTGGCAGCTGTGATCCAATTACAGGCCAGTGTCTAAGGTGCCGCCAAGGTTATGGTGGTGCGGACTGTGAAAATTGTGCGGAAGGTTACTATGGAGATGCTATCACGGCAAAGAGCTGCCAACGTGAGTATCAGACCCAATGATAAAATTGTTAGCCAACTCAGTAAGAGTTGAAATATACTGGAGGCTTATTTAGTTTGTTTTGATTGTCAAAACATGACTGTAATTGGTTTTATTTTTCTGTTTTTTGTGTAGCAAAAATAGTAAGAGAAATATTAGAAGAAAACCAGCAGATTGCACCAAAACTACTGTTCGATCTAATCCCTCATCCTGAGCCAACACAAAGCAGCTGGAAAAAAAAGCTCTATAAAAAACCAATAGCAATCAGGGAAAGAGGGGAATTTTTCACTGAGTTTCAGGACTGTTGTGAACCTGTTCAAATATAGATAAAAAAAATGCCATCCTTTTTGCACTTTAGCACTCACTGACAGGCCTATTTCGAGCTTACCCTGTCACTTATCATTGGTGATTCAATTGCAAGTGTTCTGTATGATCAGCGGATGGGTTTAAATGGACAGTGATCACTCCTGGTGGAGCTGTGTTTTATTATCGATGCAACGGCAATATTGTTTCTCTCAGGTTCACATAAAAACAATTTTCTGTCCCTGCTAGTCTTGTTGGATTTGCAGTTGGCAACATTTTTGGAAGTGTAAGTTCACTTGGTGCAACAACTTATTTTAAGATGTACTTGTACATTTGTAAAGTACAGATTTATATGTGCACTTTGAAAAAAAAATTGTGATTTGTAGTGTGCAAAAAGGGGCTCATACTCTGCAGGCCACACCTTCCAGATCCAAAGAACTCCTTCCAGGACACTGACACTGAAGGAGTGACTGCAACACATTGAATTGAGCAACTCTTTTTAGATTGTTGATGTGTCAGTTTAAAGAACCCGAAATCAAATAAAAGACTACTCACTGGGAGCTCAAAGAGACAACATAATTCACTTTTCAGTTAATTGTATGTGTCCGCAGTGCACTTTGTGTCTTTGTAGGGGTATTACACAGAAAAGCACAATGTACTCGTGTAACTTGTCTGACATTCTTTAAACGATACCTTTAATTCTTTCAGTAAAACATTAAGTTGATGGCACACCATCTGCAGAATGGGTTTGTGTGTGTCAACAAGCAGCTGTGCCAGTGGGAGGTGGGATGTCGGAGCAGCCCACTAACTGCCAGCTGTGCTTTAAAATGAGAGGAAAAACTATACCTGTAAAGACAAGAGGCAGAGAGAGAGAGGGATGGCATGGGATACAGGCATAAAGATGGCACTTGTTTGTGGAAAAGTCTTCATTAAAACTGTGCTTCTTACAAAAACAGAGGCAATGGCAGGGTGAGGGGCAGAGAGACAGACACCTCGCCCCAAACTGGAGACAGCCAGACTGACAAACAGATAAAACTGTCAGAGCAGCACAAAAGCAGGTAGACAGGCTGACAGAGGGTATTAATGTGGATTTGATAGTTCATTGTTCTGTGGTTGTTTCCTTTCCCCACCAGCCAAATAGCTATTGATTAATCAGGCTGATCTATTGCTCTCCTGCAGCGCTGATCAGCTGCTTGCGTATGGAAGATTGAGGGTGGTTATTGATCCCCTACGAATGACAAAAGACCACCAAGAATTATTAAAAGACATCAACTCTACCGCTTTCTCTCCCTCTCCGTCTGTCTGCTACACTCCTCATCATTCCCATTCTTAATGAATTTTATTGAGTGAAGCAGGAGAGTTCAGGCCAAGTCCGTTTTTGCCCTATTAGACTGTAAAAATCTTGTACATTTTCTTTTGACATCACAGTTCCCATCTGAGGCCACTTATGCTAGAACAATTTTGTGTCTCCTCCTGTAATGGTTCAATTTAATTCTTTCACAAGCAAACTTGATCACAAAGTAATTTGTCCAGGGAAAAATGTAAAGAAAATAATGGTAGCCATCTATTTCTTGCGTGGGGAAAAGCCATTCGAAAACAGTTGCAACAACTTGGGAATGACTTTAGTTCATATTTGTTAAGTGAGGAGAACTGAGAGGAAAATATAGAAATACAATTATGACCGAATGTATCCTATTTAATTAACTTTTTAAAAATGGTTTCAACATTTAATCAATAAACTCTTCTTTGGAAACTGTAATTGAACCATTTTTAAAATGCTATCAATTGCAAAGAGTCTTCAGCAAACTGATGTGTAACATGAAAAGTAATTTAAGAATACTTTCAGAAACAAATGTAATCCTTTTATTTTTGAATAAATAAAAGCTTCATTATAATTATAATTATACATAACTAAGTTATTAAATTCAAATGACAGCTAAGTTGTCGTTGAAACACAAACAAAATTATGTTTGGTGGAAAAATCTATTTTAAAAGTCATCTTTTGGACTGTTGTAGGTTCCCTTACAGGAGCTTCTTGTTTCAGGTCCTTACATAGAATTTGTATTAGTTTATGGCTCCGGTTTTGCTGTAGTCCTTAGAAAAGATTCAGAACAACTTAAGGAGACTGTATGTTTGACTTGCTTTCTCTTAAGATTATGGTCATTTTCAAATGACCAGCTTTAGTGGTAAAATGTGGTAAAATGTAATCCAGGCCCAAAATGAGCTTAAAATGAACAAATGAATGAATACATATACAAATAGAGTAATTTATGGCCCCCGAATGATTACATAAACCAACTGCTATGGTTTTGCAGACTAAGGTTAATTGGTAAGGAGCACACGCCACATCTGGCAGATGTGTAATAAGTGCTTATAAGATTTGTTGATTTGACAGATGGTTGAATACTGAATAACAGAACATGGTGTATTTAGTTTGAATAGAGGATACTGTGAAGCAACACTGAAAAGGAGAAAAAGAACATTTTATCTTACCACAAGGCTGGCTTTGTACTATAACAACTTGCAGAAGAGATGGTCCAGATGGTCCCTGAAGGATGATTCTTTAGGCTGAGACACAAATACAAGCATAGATGTGTATGTTTTCTCAAACACTGGTGCATGTAGGACAGTACTCCATATTCACAGATGAGCAGGTGCAGGAAACATGTTTCTCTTTAGGCATTCAGGTGAAAATCCGTACCATGTGTGTTTCTGAATGTGTGCTCATATGTGGAATGCTGTTGTGGGCTGGCATCTACCCTTCTGTCTCTTATAGGAGCAGAAAATAACAGGCGGTAAAACAGACCACTTCCTTTAAGTGTCATTATAGAGCTATATGATGTGTGCTTCTGATTCCAAAAGAAGGTGAATCTGCCTTCATGTGCATCTGTGTGTGTGTCCAAGTATGCTTCTAAGAGTTTATGTGCCAGATGGTGGCTGTGATGTAAAGCATTTAATTCTTTATTTAAGGGTTTGACTGGCGCATCTAGGTGTCTTTTTCATCTCTAGGGATTTAAGCCCACAAACTTTAGATAAAGACTAAGCGATGCAGAGTTTCTTAATTAGACAACAGAAGACAGAGAGGTATTTGTGAGGGGTTTTGGGCATGCAACAAAATTAACCATTAACAAATTAATTATCCAATTAATTACTTAACTGACTAATTTGGTCAAATCTAAAAAAGTTTATTTGTTTGGGGAACAAGACAAGCATCAGTAAAGAAACTATTTGTTCGATTTTGGTGTTAATATAGAACGACATTACCTGTTTTTTATCATTCTGGGTAGTAGTTTGTATCTAAAGTGCAGCGAGCAGACTACAAGCATACACTGACAGCTAATTCTGATGAGAAGCTTACTCGAGAGTTTTTGTCAATTATCATTAAATATGCTAATCTCTTTCATTTTCTTCAGCCTGCCAGTGCCACACGAATGGCTCTGTTTCTGAGATCTGCAATAAGGAGAGCGGTCAGTGCCAGTGCAGAGAAAATGTGGTTGGACACAAGTGCGATAAGTGCACGGTAAGTGGAATTTTAACTTTGATTATTCATTTTGCGCTTAAGATTCTTATTATACACCTATTTACAGTACTGTATATTGTGTACATCTTACCTCTTTTTATTCCTTTTTTTAGTACTTCTAACTCATTTTTATGTCTAGAAATCAACATGTTAGTTAATTTCAGGCGTAACACTGGAACATGTTCAGTCATGCACACATAGTTTTCTCTGGGCAACTCATTTAATGCTCTATCTCAGTATGTCACTAAAAATGTTACTGTAAACTGATTTCTAATGTGATAATAGCTATCCAGACTCTATCTTTTCACGGCCCCCTCATTGGTCACTTGTCCACATCCTCTCCATCCATCTGCATTGTCTTGGCCCAGCCTAACTGCTGGTGGGATGCTGAGCATCAGGGATGCGTGCCCTGTCGCTGTAGCCGTCATGGCTCTATCTCTCAGCGTTGTGATGTTGAGGGCCGTTGCATCTGTCGTGCCGGCTTCGAGGGCCAACGCTGTGACCTGCGTCGCCTGGGTTACGAAAGGCGGGAAACAAGGCGCCCTGTGGAACGGGTTCCGGTGGAAAGCGTGCAGCAGAGATGGGGGAGCTCTACCCGAACGGGTGGCTGTCCCCGGGGCGCGTACAGGCCTCAGACAGGGGTAACACACGCTGCATGTGGATTGCAGTGGTGTGTTCACTAGCACGGGGTGTTTCTGTTTTGAGATTTTTGTTCCTGTCTAATAAACAAAAATGGTTATTTTCTGTTGTGCATTGTTTTGTGGTACTTGGTTTTTTAAACATTGCATGGAAAAAGATATTGATTTTTTTCAATGTTTCTATAAGCATGGTGTTCTGGTGACTCCTATCTGGTGAACTTTGTGCATACAGTTTAATGCAGTGTCATAAAAAAACTTCGGGCATCAGGTAGTTTCAACTTTTAGTTTATTTCCAAAGTGAAGGACAAATTTATTTAAAAAAAATAAATTCCTACCTCAGCATATTCTGTAGTGTAGTGAAGTTTCCTTTATCAATTCTTATTTAGTCCTCAGAGCAGACTTAAATGTCATCATTATTTTTTTTCTCATTTTTTGCTGTGTAAGCGTGCAGTTTATCTGACTCAGCTCTTTTGTTTAATTTTAGTTCCACTCATCGGCCTCTTTGTCTGTGTGTGTCTCACCAGCTTCAGACTCACGGCATCGAAACCGGTGGAACATGTGTCCCCTGCCACTGCAATTCGTTTGGGTCCAAGTCATTTGATTGTGATGAAACAGGTCAGTGTAGGTGTCAGCCAGGCGTCAGCGGACCCAAATGTGACCGATGTGCACGAGGCTTCTTCAACTTCCAGGAGGGTGGCTGCACACGTAAGGGGAGAGCTTTATATCTTCTTTGAGCATTGTGTTTTTCTCGTAGGTTAAAGAACAGCATGCATTAAACTTGACACACAAATAAAAACGAGAGAACATAGAAAGACTACTATATCCACTGCTGGAGCTGTTTAATGATTATTTTAACTGAACAAGTGTTCCAGTCTTCCAGCTTCTCAGTCGTGGATCTGCAGTGTCCCTACATAGATGATAGTTATTATTGTTATTTGTCAATAGCCTTGAAAAAACACTTATTGGAGGATTTGTCTTTAGAACATGTTGCTCTTTTTTGTTAAAATGAATAACAATAAGAAAATAAGTCAAAAGGTTCAGTCAATCTGTGGCCCTGGAATTTTTGGGGGCCCCTGGGCTGCAGCCTTGGCCAGTATGTGCATTCATCTGTGCCTGCTTTGAAGACTTAATACACGGAATAATAATGAGTTTACTGAATGAATTATCGGGCTAAATCATTTCGATAAAGCTTGACTGATAAAGAAAGAAAAATGTTAGATAAATGTAGTAATGATTAGATAAATGCTGTGTATCCATTTAAACAATAATATCATCAATACATGTCTCATGGCACATCACTACAAAATGGATAAATAGTATAGTATATTACACCAGTTTATTATTTAGTTTCACATTAGATTTTTTCTCCATTTCCTCAGCTCTTGATCCCTTTATCATTCAAACTTGAGGCCATTTGTCACCATAAACCACTCTTGGATTAAATTTTTCATTCAGTCTTTTTTTTAGTTAAGTTGGAGATTTTTATAGATGTTTTTATGTTCATTAAATCATATGACCTTAAGACACAGCACATTTTGTGTTGCCCAAACAAATGGGTGGATAAAGAATCCACATTGCTTTTCCCTCAAACTTATTCAATATATGATGGATGCCAATCGCCAATAGCAACCATGTCACAGACGATTTTAGACAACACAATCATGGAAGATCAGAATAGGCCTTTTCTGCATTGACTGGCACCACTTAGGGGTCAGACTGCAGGTGTGATATGTTGCTGAGCGCCATGATACACAAATGAATAGAGCACAAACAGAAAGCAAATACTAATAAATATGCAGATTTAGCTGTCAACAATATATAGACTGAAAAATGTTTCACTATGCTATTTAAATATGTTAATATGTAAAGAGTGATTTTGACCTGATTAATTTTAACAGCTAGTCTGTACTGATCTGCTTTTATTATGAACCCAGTTGTTTTAGTTTGAACTTTTTCAGTTTTTTTGTTCTTTTCTTCATTTGTTTTCTTTTTCATTCAGCTGAGATCCCCAGTGTCTGAATCATTTCATCACACCTGCGTCTTGTTCTTGATTAACACACCCGTTTCCACTTATCTCATTACACTGAGTGATTCTGAAAGATTCTCTGATTCTTTTCCTCTGAGCCCTCATTTAATTTTGTTCCTAAAAGCTTTGTATTTTTTCCTTGTATTTTTAGGATTTAACTGGGAGTTACTTTTTTTTTTGGATTCCTGGTATTAAGACTTACTTTTGCGTTTAATTTTCAGTTGCGCTTCCTATTGGCTTGAAATGTGTTTTTTTCCTGAATGAGTGACATTTATTAATTTTTTTTTTCTGTAAACTGTATAAAATCCTTGATAATCTTTGTGTGTCACTTTTTTTCTTGGCTTGTCTTCAAACTACTACTCCCCTCCTTCTCTTTCAGCCTGCCAGTGCACTCATGTGGGAAACAACTGTGATGTAAACACCGGACAGTGTATCTGTCCTCCAAACACTATTGGTGAGAGATGTGACCGCTGTGCTCCCAACCACTGGGGCCATGACATCATGACTGGTTGCAAGGTGGGATGAGAGTATATCTGGCTTAAAACAAGTTCTGGTTTTAACTGGGGTTTTGTTGAAAAGTGAGGCTATTTTAGGCAAATATGATAAACAATTTATACATTTAATCCAAATGATGAATTTTTATTTTGCATATTTATTTATTAACATGCAGTAAGTCAAAACTATTGTGTCGTAGTCTTCTTCCCGCTTTTATCAGTTATATTTTATTGTGTTCAACAGGGTTTTGAGCAAAGTTTTTACCATTAAATGATGCAAAAGGTCTCGGTTGCAAAAGATTTCATATGGCGCTATAAGGTTAATATCTTATCCATTCAGTTATTTACTGGATACATGCACATTTAAAAAGAACATTTTCACCAAATGTTACTTTTGATGGAGGTCGAGAAAGAAATGTTCTCAATGGCACCATTTTAGCCTGTATACTTTGGTTGTAAATGAGTTGACCATACGCACCAAAAAAATAATGGAGAACACTAATACTGTCTTTTCGGTTGTGTATTGATAGGAATGTGGCTGCAATGTGATTGGTTCAGTCACACAGACGTGCAACATGAATACAGGTTGCTGCTTCTGTCGTGATTCCTTCAGAGGAGAGAAATGTGATGAGTGTCAAATAGGATACAGAGACTTCCCACAGGTAAAGAACTAGATGAGCACTCTGCACTTTCAGTTTGATTGGGGTAAAGTATGAGCTGTTGATGTTACGAAATAAAACTAATGTGGCCTCAGTCTTGGCTATTCTTGGGAGATTTTAATGAAATACTATGATAAAGTGCAAGGCGCTTGCTACTTACTGGTCAGTTGCTTATGACAAAAGCTTGGCATTGTCTGCCTCCATATTTCCACAGTGCATCCAGTGTGAGTGTAACATAGCAGGATCGGACAGCCAGACCTGCGACATGGAGAGAGGAGTGTGTGCCTGTGCTGAACGAACAGGCAAATGTATCTGCAAGGTACAGTGTATTTTTTTTTTTCCCTTCAAACACACATTGCATTAACTGTACCATAACTGCGATCAACTAAGCTTTTCCTTTTTCAGGAAGTCGGCATTGAGTTCACTTGAGTGCTTGTAAGACAGCTGGAGAAAAATGTGGTATTTGCTTCAGTCCTGCTGCACCAAGTTTTCTTTAAATGTCAGTGCAGTTTCTAAACTTCACAGGCACACAGAGCTTCTTTTTTTTTTTTAATATACAAAGCTCCCATTCACATGTATAACTGCAGGCATTAAAAGCATGTTTATCAGTTATACTGTATACAGATGAAAAATGCCAAAAGGTTGTTCACAAGGACTGCAGTCATCCTCATTTTTAGTGATGAGGAAGATTGAATATATCCAACAAATGCTAAATACTACAATATTCCAGCTGTAACTTTTTTTTTCTCTCCCCTGTTGGTGCTTGCCTATATTTGCATTGCATTTGTTTGTTTATTTGGGGGAGGGGGGTATAAACACAATAAAAGTGGAATAATTCAATTTTCACATTGCAGTACTTGAATGTAACTGCTTAGCTTCAGACAAGACAAAATGGTTTCAGAAAAGTATTATTGGGCAGTATGAAAGTGTCCTTGGTCCATCTGGTGTTTTTCTTTATAGAAGAGGGTAATGTATATTAACAAAATGTGTCATATTTTGATATGCACTGAAGCTTATCCGCAAGGAATATTTGATGAAAAGCAAGTACCGGTATGTGAAACAATGGCATCAAGCTAATGCATTATTGGCCTGTCTATGTGTTATTTTAGGGAAATGTGGAAGGACACAACTGTGATCAGTGTAAGCCAGAAACATTTGGATTATCTGTGAAAAATCCAATGGGCTGCAGCAAGTGTTACTGTTATGGACTGACCCCCTCATGCACAGAGGCACAAGGACTTATAAGGATGTGGGTGAGTGTCATAGTTTTCTTTACAATTTTTCTGTCCGTGGTTTAAGTTCATTTGTGGGAAGAGAAAAAAGTAGCCCTTAATGAGTGTCTTGAGTTGCTTGAAAGAGCTAAAACAAAGACACTAAATTGGCAACTTAAAATCAGTGTGACTATTTTTTCGAGATGGATGACAGATTTATTTAAACATCTGTTATGTCAAATATAAATATTAATGGTTATTCTCTGTATCCAAAGAAGCTGGCTTTTATCATAGTTGCTTTGGAATTTCCTTGCTACCCAGAAGTAATTCAGTTAAGACACTTTCGTAACATGAAAAAGAGCTAAAGTTAGGCTGTGTTGAAGTGTCTGAGAAAATGACCAAACTCCTTATCTGATTTTTTAAAAAAAATGTTAAAAAAATTATGCATTTTGGAAAATGGAAACTGAAAATAAGATATTTCCTGTTAAGTCAACAACATGTATGTAGAAATGGTTGATACTCTCACAGTGTCAGCAAATCTGCTTTACATCAGCAATGACTATTTTGGATAGAGGGTGATGAAGCTTCATGTAATCAACAGGCTCTATTGACAGAGGCAAGTAGGGAATGTTGCACATCGAGAAATGAAAAATAAAAAGTTCATTAGAGGAAAGATTTTCACTGAATCATGAGATTACACTGAGTGGTGCAAGTGCACTTTCACACACTACTTTATCCACTCACAATGCAAACACAGTCTAACAGAGTCACATTCACAGTAGATGGGAATACATGGAGGTTAGTAGAGGGACCTATGCAAATACGCATGAACATGAACACCATCTGGTGGGAGAATCCATCATGATAATTTGTCAAACAGCTAATGTAAGTCTGCTCAGACTTGTATAAGTTAAAAACCATCAAGTTTGTAACCTACAACTGGATCCCAAAAAAAACCTATCAGTGTTATTCCTCTCAAATTAAATGAAAAAGTTCCAAGTCATATGTTACTGGATATTAATAAGAAATATCTATTAGCCTAAATTAAAAAAACATACATTTAAGTTTCTAAAAGCTAAGCTTTAAAAGTGTAGAAAATCAATCTAAAATTCTTCTTTAAGCCAACATTGTTGAGATTCTTTGCAAACTCAAAAAATGCATCAAAATTCAAAACAAGATTTTAATCTGGGGTTTTAACCAAAATGTTCACGCTTTTTTTCTGACAGTAATTTCCATTTGGCACGGAGCATGTGGCTTGCTGTTGATTTGATTTTTGTTGCAGCAAATTACAGAGGTACATCTAGAAGTGGAGGGACTGAAAACTATGCTTAGCTCAGTTATTGTTTGGTAGAGCCAAGCTCCTAAAGAGATGACAAGGCAGTTATCTTCACCAGTTGCCAAAAAGATGGATTGAAATAGTTTAAAACTCGAAAGGGAGCAAAATCATTTGCCAAAAGCAGATGATGAGTGGGGATCCAAGCCAGTAAAAGAGCAAAATGAGATGCAGTGACTACCAAAGCAATCAAAGTCTCTGCTGCACTCCTTCATATCGCAAAATGTTAAAGCTTTTGTCACATTTCATGAAACTTGGATCCAAAAATTCACCTGAGCACAGAAGTTTATCTGCACTGATGTTTAATGACATTCTCAGAGATGCATTTCGCAGTTCAGAAATGAGTTGCTCAGAATTGTGACAGCGGGGTCAGTCTGCGACAAAAGCCTGAACCGGTAAACAGCTCTATTCAATAAATGGCTGTCATGAACTGCTCAGAGCGAAATTTTCAGTCACATATGTTGAAAAAAAATCCCAAAATGCAAATAAGGAAAACTAAACACAACAAAGAACCAGATATTTTGAAAATATTATTGGCATGCATCGTCGTAGTATTGGATTTAAATGACTACATTATGTAATCAATTATGTAATCGATTATTATGCATATTACATTTATTAAAGAGATTGTTGCTTTAAAATCTATCACAATCAACAAATATATATATATATATATAAAAGACTTGATCATCACAAAACCAAAACATTTTTCCTACTTTATTGATATTATTTGATGTTATTACCATACAGAGGGAAAAGCCAGTGGGAAATATGTCTGTATATTTTGGAGTTTGATTTATTCTATGTAAGATTTAGGACAGAAGTAAACGCTTTAGCATTTCATGTATTAAATAATCATGAAACTAGGGTTGCCAGTATTGAAAGAAGTTTGAGAGTTTTAAAAGAAGATTTCAGCTTTAAGATTCTTTTCTCTAAACCAAAGAAGCACCGTCCCATAATGCACCAGAGCTCCAAGATCCAGCAGGTGAATCTATTTTTAAATTGATCCAATCAGCCTCAATCCACAGTCAATCGTAAGCCTTGATATTATTCAAGCAACAATGAAATATCAACACATGGACTGAGAGACAGAGGGTGAAAAATAGAGGCCCAGTTTTCCTCCTCACTGTCGGTGATAACGCAAATACATTCATATCAGATGGTGAGAGAAAGGCTGAGTCATAAGTATGAAGTTATATCCAGAAAAGAATGATATGCTATCCACTGCTTTTGACTGGGAAAATAATTTACGACTTGGTTGTCATACTGGCTGACACTGGAAAAAAGCAGTGGTTTTCTCTGTGAGAGCAGTCTAGGTCTCTCATTCAGTCATCATGGAAGTGTTCTCCTGTTTTTCTTTTTTTTCCCCCAAAGTGCTCCATATCAGTTAGAGCAAAGGTCCCAACATTTCCTTTTGCTTTGCTTAAACAACTGAGTGTACAATCAAATAATACTCAATGCACAAGGTTTTTGTCTGTAATCTGAATTATATAGTTCAATTCAAGTTATGGTGGATAGTAGCAGAAGTACAAAAAGTGTTAGAATATTATTGATTTATATAATTTTAGATAATTTAACACAATAAAATGTATTGGGTGTGACATTTGTCGAGCGCTTGAATGTTGATTGTCAAAGAACGACCCATCATAATGTTAATACTGTTGTTTTTTGTATTCTAGTTAACGCTGAAGCCAGAGCAGACGGTCCTCCCCTTGGTGGATAAATCCAACACAGCGGAGACGAGGAGAGGAGTCAGCTTCCAGCACCCTGAGATCCTCGCTCTTGCAGAGCTGATCACACCAACTGTGTCTGAACCTTACTACTGGAAACTGCCAGAGCAATTCACAGGCTCAATGGTGAGAATGCTCACAGTGATGTTTTCCTCTTTTCTTTTTATCTATATATGTTAGTGTGAACTTTTTAATTTTTATTTTATAGCTTTCCGGTAAAAAAAAGATTGTTTTTACACAAGTTATTTAGAATCAATTTACAAAGTGTAATATCCTTGGGGCTTATAATATGTAATAAATACTTTCAAAGTTCATTATTTAAAGGAATGATGCTTCTATATTTTAGTGTGTATTTACAGGTTGTTGGGTTTTTTTTACTGATCAGATCAACGATTTCACCCCAACTGACATAGATGATAAACTAAAAACTACACCCGCTGAGCGTAAAGTGGAAACAATGATGTTGCCTAAAAGACTATATAAACCGTCTTTGTTGTCCTTTGCGGCTCTTTCATGCTTTCACTGCATATATGTTTACTTGATTTGGACCTCCCAGCAATCATAATGCCCAAAACTTTTGCTTGGCAGCAGATTTAGAAAGCCGAGTGCACACTCGGCATATTTATTTTAAAATTCTTTGCCTGATTAAATGCAGAATCTGTTCAGTTTTACTCTTAAATTGGTTTTCAATGGTCTCTTTTTCAGATAACCGCATACGGTGGGCTGCTTAAATATGCAGTGTACTACGAAGCCAGAGATGAAACTGGGCCATCCTCCTATGAGCCACAGGTCATCATAAAAGGTGGTCCAAACCACAACATGTTGATGACGCGTCACATCCCAGGAATTCAGATTGGTCAGCTCACTCGCCATGAAATCGACATGACAGAGGTAGTTTTGACCAGTGGGTGTAGTCAGAAGTTTTGTTGGATACATTTTTTTGTATGATACTAAGTCTAGAGCTGAATGTATCATACCCGTTATCTTTGGCCTTGTCAGAAAATACCGTCATCCAGTCAGCTTTAGTTACAATTAGACTGCAAAGAAAGAGTTCATTTGTCAGTTTATTTAATACTTTCTCTGTGTGTGATTGGATGTACAGCATGAGTGGAGATATGCAGATGGTCGATCTATGACTCGGGAAGACTTCATGGACATTTTGTTCTATGTGGACTACATCCTAATTAAGGCCTCACATGGCAGTTTGATGAGACACAGCCGGTAAACACACTCTCACACCAATTCTCATGCATCTCCAGATAATGATCCTCAGTATTAGATGTGAAATGTGTCAGCATATTCAAAAATCATCTGACAGGGAAAACAGTACCCTGGTCAGTTATTTCTGAGAGATAATAAACTACCAATAATTACAGTCACAAACCATCAAACTTCCAATAATAAAGATTTTATGTTTACGGAATGTCCCTGCAAACACAACAGAAAACTGTTATTTAGTCACTTTGATTAAACTGAAGGACTTTTTGCTCCCAGTATTTCAGAGATCAGTCTAACGGTGGCAGAGGAAGGTACACCGACAAAGGAAAGCGAAAATGCTCATCAGATTGAAAAGTGTGACTGTCCGGCTGGATATTCTGGACTTTCATGTGAGGTATGTGCATAACTAAATGTGGCTCTCAAACACATGTACCCAGACTGCATATTTACTACAAGATGTGAACTTCAAAAAGTTGTATCAGAATTGTTCAAACTCATGTAATCGGTTGTTAGTTGATGGCAAGTAGGAAGCTTAAAGTTTCTACTAATAATTTAGTTATTTGTAGAATTCAGAAAGCCAGTAAGGCATTCTTAAGCTGCCCGCAGATGTACTTGATTTTTAAAAAGGATATTGTATGGCTAATATTGATAATGGAGTTACAGTTGCATTATAAAATAATTTACAATGTAGCTGTAGAACTTAAAATATTTTTCAGCGTTCCCATTGTTCTTTAGGTCTTTGTTTTGCTAGGATTAATGCAATATGAACATCTCCTTTGCCTAGTGGTGTTGAAATTCAGTTTCAACCAGCTGCTCAAACAGAAATTATGCATCTATGACCAAACCTTAAGTCTAGTAAAGATATTTTGGGGATGGCTTATCATCCATGGACACCATCAGTCGAGGTGATACCACTGGGTTGCAGTGCCTGTAAGGTCATATTTGTTAATCTCAGCGTAATACACGGTTTCCCATCTAACTTTTAACTAGATTTTTCAACCTCTGTTTCACTGTTTATTCCTGTGCAGAGCAAGGCCCATCTGTATTAGCTTCGATGATTATCTGTGAACATAATTTAAGAGCTACAGCTATTAGTCAAAGAGAAGCCAAAAAGCAAGCGATGGCTAAACTTAAACTTTCAGGTTGTGGAGGGCTTGGCTGACAGATGGCTGTTCTATTTGTAGCCGCCGTCGTTACTAATAAAGTATTTTTAAACAGGCGTTTAGTGCTAGCAGAAGGAACAGATGGCTCTTTAAATGGACTCCATTAATTATTACTGAACAGGAGAGAGGAAGGAGTTACCTCATATATCTGTGTGTGTTTGAATGTATGCAGTGTATAAGAGGTTATGTGTTCAAAAGTTACCAAAGGGAATAAATCTTCACTATGTTAAAAAGGCAGTGCCTAGAGAATTGACCATTTGGTAAAAGGATGTAAGATTTTAGTGAGCAAGTTAATACATTTTCGAATTATTTAAACACATGCTAAACCAAAGCTGGATCTTGAAGAATATATCTGACTCTTCTCTAAATGTTTGCTCCTTTCATGCCTCTCTTTCCGTCTCTCCACAGGAGTGTGCTGCAGGTTTCTACCGCCTCCGTCCTGGATCCCTTGTATCTATTCCAGCATCCAGAGCGCCCACTGCTACCGGGATGGGCAGCTGTGTTCAGTGTCAGTGCAATGGGCATTCTTCCACTTGTGACCCAGAGACATCCATTTGCCAGGTAAATGAGTGTGTATGTGTGCCCTCTGTTGCTAGAGTCTCTCAGAGCCATATGCTGTGTTTCTACAAAAACTAGTGCAATGAGGAAGGGGATATAGATGTGTGGGAGTGTGTGTGTATTCTGATGGATGTCTAGTATCTTAATTCGATTTGGAAGAATTAAAGCCCTACATGTCTGCAGATTTTATTTCTGTGATTTCTCTCTACATTGACTGCGTTAAGTTGAATTTATGATTGTAAAAAAATCTAAAAAGATTCATATTAGTCTAGAAATGTAATACCTACAAAGGAAACATGTGAAAGTCCTTAAAATGTTTGTTTGTTTTTTCTGGCCAATCTTCCAGATGATTGATCAATCAAGTCCGGGTTAAAGGATTCAAAGTTAAAACCTTGGGTCTATTGTTTTTCTCTTAAATGAGAATGTAGAAGACGACAAAACAAGACAATGACAAACCATTTCCATTAAATCGAGATACAGGTCCGAAATCATAAGTCAGTTACCCCAACTCCCCCAATTTGTAAACGGTTTATTATGTCCAACTGTACATGACAAAAATTATGATTATCATAAACTTTTGATGGATGCCAATGTTCTGTGCTTCTCTTTTTGATGCACTCTCATTATTAATTATTCTTTTCTGCAAATGCATTTCCTGTAATCTTGTTCTATATATGCTTCGGCTCATCCTCAGCCACTCTCCTGTTTTTAATTTTTCTCTTATTTTGTGGTATAATCTTATTAACTGAATTCTCTTCTTCCTTGTCCTCAATTATGTTTATGCATTCTTTCTCTTCTTTAATCTAATTCCCAGCCTGTTATTTCCCTTGTTCAGTCTTCTTTTTTACCCATTTTTATTTTCTTTCTCACCCCTGCTTAATTTCTCCAGTTGTGCCAATTTTTCTTTCTTCGCTTTCCCACACTCCCTTTCCTTTGTTCCAGACTCTCTGCCTCCGAGTCATTTTTTTGCCCATTTCTCTCTTACTCTCTGTAACAGCATCATTAGCATTTTTCTAACTGAGCGGGCTGAATTGAAAATGCTAAACGAGATTGTTTCTGTGGTAATTAGCAATAACGAGGAACACAGGAAGTTAATGGAAATGACTTGCCTCGTTTAGAGTCAACTTCCTGTTGTACTGATTGAAGTTCCCATTTTCAGCAAACAAGTCGAACACATAAGACAGGTCCCTGGGGATAGGAAGACGAGTTAATTTGTGCATAGTATAGTTATATTTACAATGTGGGTATCTTTGACTTCAATGTGTGTTTTTCGGAACCATCAAATGTTTTTCTGCTTCACTGAACATTCAATTTTCATTTCTATGCTGTGAAAATGTACTACTCATACAGTGTATTTTTGCATAGTTTCTATCAGGACACTGGTGTGTTCGTGTGTGGGTGTGTAAATGATTTTCTCAAAATAAGATGGAAAAGAAACTATTGTTATTAAAATAATGTGAATATATATGTATTCATGCTTTTGTGCCAGATTATAATTTTGTGGCTATCTCTGGTACAACAGGTGAGTAAATTCCTGCCAAGAAAATAAGTATTTCAGATTACCTACTCTTGCAAAGGAGGCTCATTAAAATAGGACTTGTGAGGTCGTACCTGTCAGCAAACGGCTAGCTGACAGCAACTGCCTCAACATGCAGGTGTGGGATTGAAATTTGGAATTTTATAGTGTGGATGACTGCATCTTATCTGAAATAATGCAAAATGATACACATTTGAAAGCCCAGAGTGACTCAAACTGTGGGTGGTGAAAAGAAATGAGCCTCAGTCTCCCTGCTGTTGTTGTGCAGAAGCAGCTGCAATCATACTGGGTACTTGTTTTGTGTGAAAATGTAAGTAACTGATTAATCAAAAGTTCACTTTTCTTATTTGGCTTTAAATAAAGAAATTAAAAAGGAAAAAGGTTGCTATTGAATACTTGCATATAATTAAAGTGACCTTTCTGTCCATTTTTGTAAACAAATATTTCACCGGGAACTATTTAACTATTTTCTTTGAGTTTTTCTTTCTTCTTTATTTTGTTTGTTTTGGTTACAACACCCGTACAATAAAAACACCCCACATATTCTCAGTTCATGTTGGATGGAAGATGATGGCGATTTCAGTGCCCACAACTTGGAGACAATCAAAGATGAGTTTAAAAAAAAAAAATTGCGTCTTATCAAATTTCCTGCTGATTTCCTGTGCATGTCTGTGTTGGTAGAACTGTCAAGACAACACAGAGGGGGACCAGTGTGAGCGCTGCGCTTCTGGATTTTATGGTGTGGTCCGAGGCTTTGCTGATGATTGTAAACGCTGCGCCTGCCCCCTCACCAACCCAGAGAACAAGTAACACATCTATTTATTTAGCTCATTTTGCTGTTTGATAACCACATATTAAAAGTATAACTTATCCATTTATACATTTCTGAAGCTTTGATTTTACACATGTAGTTTTTACTACATTTGAAATAATTCCTCTGGAAATTTTGTCTAGTTTCAGCCCTACTTGTGTATCTGAGGGGTCAGATGACTACCGTTGTACAGCCTGCCCAGAGGGATATGAAGGAAAACACTGTGAGAGGTCAGACACATGGAAATATGGATATTTCTCTTATTTCTTTGTTTGAGTTATATTTTGTAGTAGTGTCTGAAGTGTTGCTGTAAATTAATCCTACAAGTTTGCACAACTCAGCTTAGATAGTGGCCAACATTTTCACACTGAGCCAAGGTAGGATGGTGGCACTCAGTATACAGTCATTTTCAGGTTTCCCCAGAGATGCAGTGCTGTGCTCAGGTCAAGACTCTCACCAAGTCATTGAAAGACTTTGGGAGTTTTCAGACATAAACTACTCCAACCACTCCTGGCAGTATATTCTGGGTCACCAACTTGGAGAAATATAAGTCTTCACCTCTGTCTTCAGTATATTTCTCCTGTAATGAATATTGTGTGGTCCTGTAAGCAGTAGTATTGTTGTGACACCCCATGATATTAGTCATCCACAAATGAACACAAAGGAATGTCATTTTTAGCCAGACCAAGGTGCATGGACCGTACAACAGTAAACTGTATAAATGTTGGAAAGAAAATGCAAAATGGCTTAAAGTGAAGGTACAGTTGACCTGATTGGTGGAATACATTGTTGTAAACCTGTTCTAGAAACATTGTATTTAAAACTATATTTCATGTTGTCTCAGATTTTTGCTACACATGTATAACACACTTCCTGTTGTGTATAAAACCATCTCTGTCTATGGTTCATCCCTATAGGTGTGCCACTGGTTACCATGGTAACCCAATGATGCCAGGTGGACGATGTGAGGAATGTAAGTGTTCCCTATGGGGGGCATTGCCCGGACCATGTGACCCTGTCACGGGCCAGTGCCGCTGCAGGGTTGGGGCTTCAGGAATGTCGTGTGACCAGTGCATGGAAAGGCATGTGTGTGGACCATCTGGAATCATCTGTAAGACTAACACACACCTTTTTCCCCTATTAATTAGCCTTTAATTTGGATTTTTCTTCTTTTGTGAAGGTGAAATAGAAGTTGAAAAGATCTGATATGAAACTTGTCCTTTTCTTATTTCATTTAAAAGGCATGCAAAAGGTTCATGGTTACTACAAATGCAGCACGGATGTCTACAATTACCCTTGAATGAAATTGAAATAATTACAATGATTAGTCTGTGACAAAAGCTTTTGCTAAAGTAACTCGGCTTTGCAGTGCAGTGTGGTCTAGTTAGTGGTCCACTTTTTGATTAGATATATTTTGTGTCTTTCGTTTCCCTCTTCAATTCTTTGGCTCAATCATTTACAATGTCACAAGATTTTGTGATTTATACTTTGTTTGGTAATAACATGTAGGCCATATGCCTTTCTGCCCAGTTGCCATGGGAGACGGGACATTGTAGCAGAAGTCAGATTCAAGCAATTCAGAAAATAATTTCAGTGTCATTTGGAGCTAATTTAAACTTAATATGAACTTAATGGTGAGGCCAATTTAGTGCCATTAGCACATGTAGAGGTGAGTGTATGCATGCAAGGGAAACGTATAAGAAAAGGTTGCAAGAAAGGGGCTGATGAGAAACTGGTGAAGCCAGGTCAGTAAGGAAATTCTAGCCCGTGTCTTTGTGTTTGGAAATAGAAATTGTGTTCATAAAATGGCAGCGCTGACATCCATCAATGTGCACCCTGACAGTTAATAATATGCCTCTACATCCAACCCATAGACATTTGTTCTGGTGCTGAGGGTTTACACAAAGTATACCAATCAAAACTACTGTTTACATTAAAAATGACGCTCTGTATTTTATCCAAGTTCACTGCTCTGGGAGACAGAACTGAGCATTTTGAAGCTTTCCAGAAACGCAGACAATTGTCGGATCTGCTGTGTAACATTATTAGCAAAGAAATACAGCAGGGACTTCATGCACTGTTGGGTTATTAAATCTTGCTTACTTTCATATACTGGAGAAGTTATGCTCAAAACGTGATTTACTCATCAGGACACATTGCAATATATTAGTTTGATCTGTTTGCTTCCAGAGGGTGCTTTTTAAGAGAAAGAATTAGCTTCAGGAAGAAATAAAGTGCAGTAAGTGAGACATCCTCAGATTACAGATAAATGCATCTGCATAGTTTGTAAAATCTTATTTTATTGGATGTAATTCTTTAAGGTTTGTTTTTATGATTAATTTAGGTGTGAAAATATAAGTAACGAGAAGGTAAATAAACCCTACAGGCCAAAGCCGTCTTCACATTGGTTTTGGTCTGTAGTCTTATTTTGTTGGAATAAGTTTTAACTAACCTATTCTGTTGAGTCACTGAAATGATTGAATAGTCAGCCAGAGTTATTCAAATTCTGAGACTGGGGAAGTTAATGATGCATTTTGATTTTGTATTGTCGTGGGCGAATTCATAACATTTGAGTGTCTAAATAATCGTTAACACATGTGTGGTTATGTGCTTCTGAATGCATGGATGCAGCGATTTGTGTGTTTTAGGTTTGTCAGAGATTTGTATTCTAGAATTTATCTTTGATTTCCATTGTAAAACTTAAATTGTTCATCAATTTGTGGATACAGAGAACATTGTCACACAATATACACAAAAATAAACATACATATATAGTTGTTTTAGCCTGCAGTGCTGCTCATAATAGGTGTTTTTGCCTCTCTGTGCTGAATTTCATGCATCAGCAGCCCTGTCTTTCTTCTGCCAGATCCACTTGAACACAGAGACGCAAGCAGGCACCACGGTTGCATGTTCAAAGCTCACACATAAAGCGCACTGTACCACACATTCATCTGTGAAAATGTATCTTTGACTTTCTGTATTATGCCAGAGCTCATGTGGCCACAGAAAAACATTTTTTTTCAAACAGAAATGCACAAACAAACAAAATGCTGCCTGTTTGCAAAACTCTGGATTTAGAAGCCACCTCATGCCTAACTTCCTTTTATTTATTTCTCTAGCCTGTGATGATGAGTGCTCCGGTTTGTTGATAAGTGATATGGATCGTCTATATCGTATCATCACTGATGTCACTCTGACCACACCTCTCCCACCACCTTATAAGGTGTTGTATCGCTTTGAGAACATGACAGAGGAGCTCAAGGTGAGCAGATCAACATATAATCAGCGGTCCTGTGCAGAGCCTAACTATCTTTAGAAGAGATTCTTTTGATCTGAATCAGGCGTGTAGAAGCAGGAAAACCTCTAAAACCTGCGGGTCTGCGGCACTCGAGGCCCAGAGTCAGCTGGTGTTGCTTAAATAATGAGAATCATGAAAAACCTAGTTACATTTAGCTGTTGTGTTCTTAACAGATACACTTTTCATGAAGTGAGCCATTATATATTTTGAGCTGTAATTCTTACTTTGTGTTTTCCTCTCCAATAGGCTAAGCTACCCACGATGTGTCAAAAATTCCACTCTGTAACCTCTTTATCCCCGTTTCTCTGTTAAAGCACATGCTGTCACCTCAAAAAGCTCCAGAAAGATTATTGCAACTGGCCGACTCCAACCTGGGATCACTGGTTGTTGAGATGGACCAGCTACACAGCAGGGTACAAACTATTTTGCTATTCCTACCACTTTGACTGTAATTTTTTCTACTTTTTCACTCAGTCAGCAAAAGATCAGTGACAGATCAGTTAAAGCAAAAACCGTCAACAGTTTAAACACTTTTATCAGGTCTGTATTTGAGCCTACAATGAGAAACTGTTGCAAAGTTATGTCGTATTGAACACCAGATTTAGCATTCTATGTTAAGATATGCATTTTGTGTAACCAACATTGGTCACATTTCCACCTGCTTCCTATTTTTTATAGCAGAAAGAACAGAAACCAACTTTATCAAGCGTGGCACTATGAGTAAAAGCCTTTCTTATGGAACCTTTTCGTGTTGCATAAGTGATCGGCAAATAACAGATATTGTTCAGGAAAGTGATTTTAAAAATTATTTGCTGCAGCCATGAGTTACTAATTAATGTAAGACAGTTCAATGTCAATAATATAAGAATTAAGATTCACCAAAGTAGAAACACACTTTTCAAGTAGGAGTTGGTCTAAACATACCAAGTGCACACCAACTACTCTCACATTCTTTCCCTCACATTCGTTATATATGCTCACTAACGCATGCATACACACAAGCCTAAATGATATAACACGGCCTTGTCAAAGCTCAACAGTAATCACCTACACTCGCTCCATGTCTTAAATTAAGTGCATTGGGACGTGGTTTCCACGTCTGTCATCTGGCATTTCTGTTTTGTTTTTTTAAGACTTCACCCTCCATTTTCATTCCTTGACTGTTTGCAAACAAGTCAGCATGTTCATTTATTAATACTTATTTATTATTTTATGATGTATCTGTGTGCTTGTATAGGCCACTAAAGTTTCTGCTGATGGAGAGCAGGTGGAGGATGATGCTGACAGGATTCACAAACGAGCTGAGGACCTGGAGCAGTTCATCAAAGACACACTGCTGGGAGCTAAAGGTAACGGAAGAAAATCACCTTCATTGCTTCCAAATTGATTTCATTTGTCATTAGAGTGTGTTTCATTATATTCTCTTTTCTAACTGCAATGGTATATCATTACAGTACAGGTTTGATGATGATGAACAAGGAAACTACATACTAGACTAAAACTAAATATGCATTATGGTTAACATTTAAGGAATGCATTTTAAGTAAAGGGAGAGAAAGAAGAGCTCAAATGTATGTATAATTACCAATACCATAGAGTTGTCCTTTCTAATGACACATTTAGTCTTAGTGCCCAAAACTACTAGAATTTACAACATGAGCTACTGCTTTAATACAGTGAAAGGTGAGTGTTTTCGAAGAAAGAGATGACCGAAACTGCTTACTACCTCTTTATTAGCTCACTAATGGGGGGGGGAAAGCTGAAACTCTGTGGCTAATGGGACAACTGCCAGAGCTCTGAGCCAGCTGTTGGTGCCAAGTGCGGCCTAAAATATAGAGACTGATCCAGCAGACTGCAGCATCACTAACCATGGTGATAAAAAGTCACCCTACAAGATAACGGTGTGCAGTAACTCATTTTACTTTTCTTTTTTCCCCCACTATTTGGCCGCCTGTGTGGCAGATGCACGCAAAACATGAAAATGTTTCTTTTGGTGGGTTGAAATGAGCTGTCACTAAACAACCAATCATATCTTTAAACTGCCGTTTTTCTTTTTTATAATGCTATAATTACTTTGTTTAGGCACAAATCCTAATTACTAGTCATCAAAGCCATCGAGTGAGCAAGATGTTGATCTTAAAAATCTCTCCACACAAAACTTGTTTTTTGTTTTTATGTAACTTGAGTTCCTCTTCAATTGATATAAAATATATATTTGCGTTGACGGGTTATTTTTTAATATAAAAATTTATATTAGAAGGAATCTAATAATTTTGCTTTCCTAATGTTTAATTATGACACTTTCTTTGCTATCCTGATTTTGATAATCAGACTTCTTGAACATCTAATTTTTGTTACTTCTCAGCCATTATGGCTCAAAATAGTCAATTAGACCTCATGCAAGGAGAGTCCATGCAAATGTATATATGTTACAGAGGAAAAGCCTGGTCTGCCAACAAGATCTTTTTTTTTTCCCCAACTCGTGCTGTCCCACAAAGTGTTTGTCAGTGGACTTGTTATAAATGTGGTGTCTGTAAACTCCAGTGATCAGGACAATTCTGACTTGTACTTAGACAAAGCAGGTATGGCTGTGCTTTTAAGTAGATTATTTCACACACACTAATGTTGCCCCACATAAAACCGCAGTGCAAATCATTTTGTGGCTTAAGGGAGGAACAGAAACGTACTAAACCAACACATTTGGGCTGGCTGTGATGAAACTGTCCTCTCGTTGTTGTGGCTCCAAGCTCTCTGGCTGTCTGCCGAATCACAGTGCGAATATTGTGTGTGTGTGTGTATGTGTGCGTGTGTGTGTTTCTGATTTTCTGAGAGAGGGACTGGGCCCTGGCTCACTGGATGATTGAGAGTAGCAATTAGAGACTTAATTAGTGGCTATCACAACCACACACATATACACACCAGATACACAAACACTAATGTCAGTGTGCAAAGTCATACAACTGTGCACACATGCATAACGAGGCAAGAAAATACAGTACACTCCTTTGTGTGCGTGTTTACTAGATGCCGTAATATGATTCCATCCACGTTTTAAGTGTTTAATTGGTTTTTAAATCCTACTGTGTAATTTTATGGTTGGGACGCACACAAATGCACTTACACACACTTGTCAAAAAGCAACAAGCACATAAATACACACTAGTTACAGATGTTCATTAGCCTGATGACTTTACTTATGGCTTCCTCAAATCACTTTACGTTTACATTTCAAAGAAGAGAAAATGCTGCATTGTGACAACCTTTCACACAAACTTACACACTCACACCTACAAAAATTCAGACCCAAGTTGGAAATGTATACACACTTCTCCTCCAATGGTTTGCTCATAAACACTCCTCATGAAGTCACAGCAGTGTATTTTAATAGTGAGCCTTGCAATGTATTTTCCTCATTGGTTATTTTTCTGATTTCACTGCCTTTAATTTGATAAAAGCATGGCAAACTTCCAGCTGCCAAAATCACTGACTTTGAATGATCTTAACACAGATCAGCTGTGTTTGCGTGGTTTTCTTTAGTGCCTGTGTTCAAAGATCAAATATCAAAATTTAATCATACAGTTTTCTGAACCATTAGGATAACAGTCTATTGGTTCAACGTTCTTACAAAGAACAGAAATTCTGTGGTGTACATTTCAACGTGTACACAGAGAGTTTGTGCATCCAGCAGCAATGCTTTTACCCAATGATGTAAAGCTGGGTTTTGTAGCAATTGCTGTGGAACAGCAAACCATGTTTGATCTGTGTTCATTTTTAGTCTATATACCATGAGCACAAATATGTGGTTTTGATATTTCCTGAACCAAAATATTAGAAGAAAGATTTTGTAACACGTGTTACAAAATTTACGTATCATTGGAACTTGAGTTTTTCTTCACAATTCCAATTTGTGGGTATTTTGGCTTCTAATGTAATATTTATACAGCTTGTATTGTAAACTAGATTAGATTAACTGTATATATATAAAAGTTCCAAGTTTGCAAGACAAAGCTTTATTTTAAAATGAATATGTAAAAAATACATTTAAAAAAAACGGTGAAAATCTTGCAAACTCTTTACTAACGTAATTGTCAACAATTCTGTCGTAAAACAGTTTTCTGTGATATTATACATTGTCCTCTTCTCATAAAATCAGTGACACCATCTGTCAGAAGACAAAAAGTAAACAGATATGCAGTGTTTCTAATTGTTTTTATTACTGTAACTACATGCACTGATTCTTCCCATCTTCGGTGTCCTCACAGTAATATTTTTTGTGTTTTTGCGTCCAGACCTCCAATCCAAGGCTGCCGAGTTGAACCAGACCCTCTCACGGAAAGACGGAACTCCGGACAAAAGCCTGAGTGAGATGAAAGAAGACATCCAGGCAATGCTAGCTGAGATGAGAAAACGACAGCTTGGAGGAAAGAAAACCATTGCAGAGGAGGAGAAGGAGTATGGGAACACAAAAACAGATATGCACACAACAGAAGTCACGTGTCTTTCTCCCACACACAGCACTGATGGGCAAAACCACCATACTTTGTTTTAATACATGCCGGTTAAACCTAGTGACATTAACGTTTTTTAGACAAAACATTTATCAATTTAAGTTGTCTGTTTTTTCTCGACGCTGCTGTTTTTCTATGGTCTGCATCCTTTGGAAAGGGTCCTGCTTGTTTTGTGCATAGTTTTTTTTTCATGTTCATTTGTTTTGTTTACATCTTAAGAAAAAGAAAAAAAAGTGAAACATTTTCCAAAAGTTCCTGTTCATTATTGGATCGATCAAACAAAAATTCCTCAACATGTTTCCATTCCAAAGATGCACTCTAATTGGTAAAAAAAACCCACAAAACTCAGAAGTGGCAACAAAATTGTTAAACAAATAATGTATTTTAAGAAAAACTTTGACTGCCCTTTCTTTTGTCTACGTGTTTCTTCACATTGTTGCTCTCCTTAAGTTTATTTCTTAATGTCACATTTAATTATTATCTTCATAATTCTTACCTCTCTTTCTGAAATAAATGTTGACAGTGTGGAAGAGTTTATGAAAAGTACCACTTGAGGGGCAGAAATGGAGAAGTAAGGATACAAAGAACATGTACAGATGGATTAAAAGATTAAAAGGGAGAGGAGAATAGCTGATGGAAACTACCAATGGCATAACAGACTTTTCTGTTTGCTGAATGTTGATTATTTGACCTAGCCCTAAGAATACATTTCAAGCAGTGCAGCAGGGAAAGAGCACAAGACCAAACAAATGATTTTATTCAATAGATGAAAATTCAGATTTCAAAGGATTAGACAATCCCTTCTTTTGCTTCCTTTTAATCTGTTTTATTTTTCTTGCCATTTCCATTGGGGATGTTCATTAAAGTTTTATCATATCCAATCATTACCCTCTATATATCTCCAATATGTAAGAAATTATTTTTGAAAAGATATTAACTGGAGAATGCAGTTTCCTTGTTGTTTTAATTAATATTTTGAAAGTTGGGAAATCATGGTAGATATGTGGTTACAAAAATATTTAAATGCTGTCAAAGTGAAGTGAAGATCACTGAAGTGTCAACTAAAGTAAACAAAAATATGTAAATTATCCCACAATTCACAGGCAGGCTGAGGCCTTATAGGGAGAGACTCATATTATTCGTATGAGCTATAATTGCAGTGAGAACAGTTGCAAAGCTGTGAATTATTAATGAAGTGTATTTAAAAGAAAGCATAATCACAGTTTAAAATTCTTTTGATACTGCATGAAGTATTGGAATAGTTGTACTTTGAAAAGGATAATGTATTTGTTGCATTATGTTGAATATTAAGAACATTTGTCTTTGAGGTGTCTTCATGAGACATATACACTGAAGGCCCCATGATTAGATTCAAGTCATACCACTGAGAATTGATTCATCCCTGATTTATTTGCTCCTGGTATTAATATAGAATGCCATGCTGCATTGTGCATTAACATGTGTTACGTTAGCCGCCGACCCACCCTCGGGCACAGCACAAATGCGCATTACAGTTATATTTGAAATGCTTTACAATTCTACAATTCAATTTAGCCTGAGGGATAAATAGAAGAAACTCTCTAGTTCTATGAAGTGATTCTTGCCCTTACCTTTGTCACACGTCAGTTTGAACTTGTAGCAGTATGCAGCTACGCCATGAATGTCACTGTGTATGTAAATTATCCATCCCCTGCTCTCCCCCTCCAGTCTAGCAGAGGAGTTGTACCAGAAAGTGAAAAGAATGTTTGGTGAGCCCCATCAGGCAACAGAAGACCTGAAAACAGAGGTAATAATAACTTCTTATTTATGCTCTTTTCTTTTTTTTCTTTTTTTTTTTGGGCTTAATCCAAGGTGACTAAAATTATCTTAATCTCTTTGTTGGATTTCAAAGATTAAAGAGAAGCTAACGGATCATGAGGGGAAGCTCCAGGAGGCTCAAGATCTTCTGCATTCTGCCCAGGGAAAGACGAAGCAGGCTGGATCGCTGGCTGAACAAAACAAAGCCAACATCACAATTCTGGAGGTAAAACGCAAGCTTTACTAAAACTGCTCACACAAGTACCTCCGTTTTCTACAAAATTGAGAAAAAAAATCTTTCCCAGCTTTTAAGAATACTGACTCTGTTTTGATTTCCCCCTGTTAAAGGGAACCATGCTTTTCATCAACACCATTGAGTTTCTCTTATTTTTCATATCAGACTGGACTTTTTCAGAGATAAACACAACCCCAGTTTTGTGATGAAACTTCAAAATAACTAGCTTTATGTTGAACAGGAAGTTTTCTTGCAGGTGGTAATTTAAGAACAGCAAGTTAAAGCGTTGAAGTAAAGCAATCCTGATTCATCGGCTGAACTTTTGCTGCTCAGTGAATAAAGACCAATTTGGCACACCCCATTCACAAAGTTCCTCCTCTATATGTGCATTGAACGAGGTTACTGATTTGCAGTGCACTCAAATTGTACTTCTGATGTGTGTAGTACCATCCTTTTGAAAAATGATCTTAACAAATCCACAAGATGGTGCGTTGTCAAATTCAGGCTGTACAAATAATTTCCTGAAATTACAATGCTGTGAAATGACCTATTAATCTCATAAATTGAATCGCATGTTCTCTAAACCTCAGACTGCTTAATCTTATTTTCCTTTTCTGTATTTTGCTTGCGATTTATCATCAAGGACTGCTCAGAGGCAGAATCTGTCCCAACCAGAAATAAAACAAGCTTTTATTTGGAAAATTATGATGCATGTCCTTGTGGTATTACGCAGTGATCTCACACACATTTTACTTAATTCTAAAAAGCATTGCATTCAGAGAAATTAAACACAGACTCTACACTGTGGTTTGGGGCTCAAATTTATATTGTCTATTCATGTTCTTGTGTCCTTAATAGAATGTGTCATTATGTCCTTAAGGTTCCTTTGTTATATTAAAGGGAATCACATTGTGCTATATCTATGTTCATTTGGTTCATCTATGGAGAAAAAAAACTTCTGTTCTTTATTACACAAGAAATCAAAAACTTTCCATTTTTACTGAATATTCAAATCAATACATGCATACTGCAATACTAAACTCGTATTTGCAGTATTGTTGCAAATCTTTATCAGTCTGCATATACTGTGTCTTTAATGAAAATGAATGTGCCTTTATTTCAATTTACTTCAATGCAATATCTGGTGGTGGTCTTCATGGCCTCAAATGTAAAGAAAGAGTATGTAACTCATACTGATTGTTCCCCTACAGAGAAAGAGGTCCGCAGTCAGTGCAGTGAAACAGGAAGCACAGAAGGTCCTTGGAGAGGGAGAGAATCTTCTTGAGCAGGCAAATCAACTCTCTGACAGCATCAACAAGGAGCTGGAGGTATTAAAAACATTTGAACTCTGGCCAATATTTAAATCTAGTGTTATGTGTACTGGTCCTTAAGAAAGATTTTCTTTCCTCTGTTTTAGCTTTCTCTATATTATCTTAAATAGAAATTAATTTTTTTGAGTGAAATATATAAGAAGTATTACCATCATTGATAAAGATATCTTCATATGTAACTTTATGACAAGAAGTAAGCATGGCCTCTGGTTTCTATTTGTAGGACTTAGAAGAAATGGGGAGAGAGCTCAATCCTCTTCATGAACAGCTGGATAATAAAGTCCGTCGCCTCACTGATGGCTTGGGTGACGGCAGACTAGCGGGTCGTGTGCTCGATGCAGAGGAACATGCCCAGCAGCTGAATGAATCTGCAGCTATTTTAGATGGGTAAATCAAATATGAACATAATCTGTACATGCTTACTGTGATTGTAACTGTGGCTGCAATGTGAGGCTGGTTTTGTGTGACAGGAAAATATGCTGATACTTCTTATGGTTAGATAAGTGTGTAATATTCAGCTGCTCCTGGTTTAAGTTTCTTTCTCTCTGTCATATCTGCCTGGAAGCTGATTACCTGCAAGTTTTTGTGATTGAACAGAAACAATTTAAAAGGCACGAGCCCGAAAGGACCTCATCAAATTGCTCTATCATATTAAAAGTTTTTAGATTGAAAGATTTGTTTATTTATGATAAAGAATCAACATCACTGCATTAACGTGTGGGGTCACAAAAAGGAAATCATAAAATTCAGTCATCTTGATTTTTCCAGTGAGAACAGTTTATATCCAGACCTGGATCATTTCAAATTCCTTCATCGCCTCAAGAGAATTTAAATTAAATTAAACAAAGTGAGAACGAATGGTTTATGTGGATTTCTATGTCAACTTGTATTATTTGTCCTACTGATCTTTTGCAGTATTTTGGCTGAAGCAAAAAATCTTTCCTTCAACGCAACAGCCGCATTCAATGCCTATAGTAACATTAAAGCCAATGTTGATGCGGCAGAGAAAGAAGCAAAGGCAGCCAAGCAGAACGCAAATGAAGCACTGACACTGGTAAGAGTACAACACGCCTTTAGAACATATCCGAAAAAGATCTTATTTACAAAACACGCATTACTAAAATCTGAAATGCACTTACTGTATATTTATGCTACATGTAATCCATCTAAGATTCAAATACACACAACTAAGCACAACCACTGCAGCTATCCAGACCATGAAAAGTGTACTCTCAGCATAGAAGATAATCTGTGCGCCTTGTATGCGGTAACAGTAATGTAAGCTTGTGCTCTCCTTTAGTCATGGCTGAGAGATGAAAGCGCTTCTCTGTCCCTCTTCCTCTTTTTTTTTTCTCCTGCCTCTTTCATTACAGTATCATGACTACTCACACCTGAAACACATCTTTTCTGGTCTACTGTTTAGTTTTTATAATATATTCTTCTCCATTTGCCTTTTTATTTCGTTCCCTCAATTTTTCTTTTTTTTTTCTTCAGTTAACCTTGTTTTTGTTTCTGTTTCCATTGGTATGAAGTTTGTCTGACCTCCATTTTCATTTTCCACATTTTTTCAATTGATTTCATATTATATAGTTTCCAATTTCCTCAGTCACATGATTTAATGTTGTATCGTCTTGGCTCTTTGTTTGAATTTGTTAAATTAGAATTGGAGAACTGACGTTTTCACTGCTATGTTGTGATGAAGGCTTTAGGTCCAGAGGTTCCAGTAAAGGAGGCAGCTCAAAGTGCCCTTCAGAAGAGTCAGTTACTGCTAAACAAGGCCAAACAGCTTCAAAATGATGTCAAAGGTACTTTTACGTTCATCTAAAAATGCTGCATACTGAACACAAAGGTTTTCTTGAAAATATTCATCTGAATAAGCACCAAGATATCAAGAAATATATATCAAAATAACTGAAAGTGTTTTAGTTTTGCCAGATTGCTTTGAAAACCTGAAAAACCTCTTTTAATTAACAGAAACAAAACTGAACCTGTAAATGAGCAGTAAAAGTGTAACTGGTACCGGATTAAATTCTACAGTGAACATGCTAGCAAACACATTTCTGTCATCCATCGTGCTGCCTATGCCTTTTCCCATTAGGGAGGAAAAGAGGTTGCCATAATTATTTCAGATCTTTGCTCCAAGTCAAACTACTATCTACATTTTGTGTGTTTCTGTCTGTGTAGAAAATGCCTACAGCGTTGCCGGCCTGAAGGGCAGAGTTAAAATGGCAAGAGAGAAAACCAAAGACCTTTTCAAAGCAGTAAATGGAACCATGGAAACGCTCAACGCCATTCCCAATGGTATGACTGCACAATTACACTGTGTGCGTTTGTGTGTGAGCATAGCGGTGGTCACACCTGCACACATGGATGAGAGATAAAAAGAGCAGATCAATAGCATTGTATGGATAAAGGTCAGTTGCTCTGCAGTGATGATGGAAGTGCTAGACTAATGTGATACCAGTGACAAAGCACTTTGTATTTGAGTTTAAATCCCAGTGAGTCATTTTTAAGTAATACATTTTTTTTGTGTGATGAGGACATATCAAGACACACTCCAGATAAATCTGTTCCAATGTGACAAGTAGTGAGTAGATTTGGTTAACATGCAGGTTGGAGCTTCAGGTGGTTAAGCTGCTACACAGATGTTATCTGCTAAGGGTCTCATGCAAAGGTGACATCTAGTACTCAATTGTTTGAGCTATTTCAGACAGTAATCTTTATACGGACACTTGAGATTTTTGACATGATACCACTGCTTCTTTAAATTTGAAACCCATCATAGTGTCATGTTCCACTCCAGATGATGAAAGGACAGCTCTTGCACCGTACAATGAAGTCTTGCTCTACAATAATAACTAATAATGATTATGCATTCACAGTGCATAATGTGGTATTGCTCATTTTTACAAGCTGTTTTATAGTAATTCAATTTAATTGGCGTGAAAAAAAATAAAACCAGATTAATTAAGTTGATTTAAATAAAGGTCAGAAAATAGTATGTGGCTTTCTGAATTCAAATTCTAGCTGGAAGCTGCTCCTACCTCTTTTAATTTTAAAATCCCATCATGGTAGAAATATAACAACGATGAATAAATCTGTAATAAACAAAATCATATGTGCAGCACTTTTTAAAGATAAAAAGGTTCCCTTTAGCTCAGTTTAAAGGTAGTACCGTGAGGGCATACGCAGCAGTCACCATAAGTGCGCCACCACCTTGGTGTTTATATATTTTTTTGTGTTACATTTTCAAAAAGATACAGCTGCTAAGCTTGCATCTACCAAGGCTATAGCAGCTGATGCCAATGCCACGGCCATCGATGTGCTAGAGCGCCTTGGAGATCTGAACCTGCGCCTCAGAGGCTTGCAACGCAACTACAGCGAACTGGAGGACACCGTCAATGCAGCCAATCAGATGATCCAGGACCCAGAAAAAAACAGTAACGCACTTTGTCTTGAAGATCCCTGCTTTATGTCATAATATAAGAAATATGAACATAGTAGGATCATGTCATCTATTTGTTTTCCAGGTTTAATTGGCAAACGTACAGGCTTCCTTTTCAGCATAGTAAATAATTATTAGCAATGAAAAAGAAAAGTATTTAGAATAATTTGTTTTAAAGACCACTTTGACCACTTTTTACAGTTTTTTCTGGCAGAATTTTGTGTTATGATGCAAAAGTAAGACATTACTTCAAAATGACAATTTGATCTATAACTGCTGAGTCTCTGGAGACTGTTGTTCAGAGTCACATAAGAGGATGAATTCAACTAAATTGTGGTATTTCTCTCTCTCTTTCTCATTTTTTTTCAATCTCCACAGCAATCAGTATGTATATCTTCCTTGTTACAAGCCTTCTTAGCTTTAGGTGGTGCACCAATACCATGTTGTCACTGCAGTGCTGTCACTAGGGCATAGCAGATTGAAATAAAAGAAAATACATCAAATTTGTTTGTATCAACACCACTCTTTTAACATGGTTCTTTGGGATTAGTTAATACTATATCTGACAATATGAACAATTTTAGCAAAGGTATTGGTGAACCATGCACTAATTTTCTCTTTAATAGCGAAAAAGCAAGCAATAGTTGCCTCTAATACTGCCTTCGCATGAGAGCTCTGCGCACTGCAAATACTTTTTTTGGTAGTTTTTTTGCTCCTCTGTATTTTTTTTTTCAGTTTCAGACTCATGTAGCATACAATGTATGAGAGTAAGGTGATTATCTTTACACTAAGCTACACTAATTGTTTGACTCTGGCCGACTTCCATTTTTACCGTCTTTTTCGGTATTTCTCTTTAAGTGATTCTCTTCCCTTCAAGCCTTTGACTTTCACTCAGCTATGATGCATTTTATAGCTTTATGATAACTAAAATGGTTCTCTTGGATGTACCTGTTGTCTTATATTGTATTTATTAAATCTCTCTGTCTACCTACAGTTCATGCTGCAGGCGCTAAGGTGAAGGATTTAGAAGATGAAGCAGACAGATTGTTGGAGAAGCTGCAACCAATCAAAAAGCTGGAGGACAATTTGAGGCGCAACATCTCACAAATCAAGGAACTGATTAACCAGGCCAGGAAACAAGCTAATTCAGTAAGTTTTACATATACACACTAGTAAACATTTAAACACAGTTGTGTTTCACAGGTTTGTGCAATGATTGAATTACATATTTTAAAACATTGTTTTACTGATTTTGATCTTTGATTTATTACATGAAGTTTAATAAATGATATAACTTTAATACCATAAATAATGCTTTAATTTAAAGGGTATCACCATCAAACATATGTAGTTCTGCTCTCTTGTGACTCCATAGATGACAGGGACTTACAATAGGTTGCTGCATGTTACGCTTCTAAACCAATCAAAAATGCCTTTCTGCTGTGGTTTTCCAATGCCAAGAAATGGAACATGGCATAAAAGCAAATGTGAAATACAACACCAAAGCTGTTATAAAGTATTGTTGATACAAACATGTGAAACTAATTTTCCTTTTTTGTTTGCAGATTAAAGTATCGGTGTCATCAGGTGGCGATTGTCTCCGCAGTTACCGCCCTGAAATCAGAAAAGGAAGGTACAATACTATCATCCTTCATGTTAAAACAACTACACCTGATAACCTCCTCTTCTACCTGGGATCTGCCAAATATGTAAGTATATGTTATGCTTATTGGAGCATTTGACACTGAACTAACACAAGTTTGCAGATAAAAATACAAATGTATTTTTTAAATCAATAATAAAGCAAACCTATTAGATTTATTTTATCTAACAAGTTTGCAAACAAATGGAATGTGAGGAGACCAATTGTTGGACCTTTATGAGAAAAATATTATTACATTTAATAAAAAATTCTATCCCACCAAAAGAATTCAAATTTGGATTTATCTGACCACATAATAGTTTTCCACATTACTTTTTAGTCATTCTCACAAAAGTTTGCATACATCTTTTCATGACAGAACTTAAACCCAAACTTTGCAATGAAGTGAACAGTCGTCACAGACTTGATATCTGGAGGCTGTGCCTGTGCAGTGAATTTCAGGACAGAGTCCTTCCTGTTATTCATGCAGTGTCACTTGAAGACCTAAATATCACAAGTTCTCAACATCACAAATGATTGGATTTTTATCTGTCAAGAGTCTCCAAATCTTTGCTATATTCAATAATCTAAACATACAAATCAGTCACAACAAGGCACAATTTCTTAATGAACAACAGAAAGTTGTATTTGTGAAAGATTCTCCCTCCTTGAGGTGATATTTGTGTACTTTGTGACTTGTTGATTAACACATTGCTATTAGCTGTTTTAGGAAGAGTTACATTTTTTTTTTTACCCTGTCTGACCTTTGAGACATGTTCTTGCCACCAAATTCAAGATGTGCCATTTTTCATACAATTGAAAAGACTTGCTTTCAAAAGTTCTGTGCTACGTGCTGATTTCTGAATAGAATATTGTTTAGAATATTTGCAAATAATTGCTTTGAAATCTAGCAAAAATATTCCTTTGAAAAAGGATGTAATAGTAAAACAGTGATCCTTCAGGCCAGTAGATACTTAAAGGTAAATTTACTCTCATTAAATTGTAAAGACAGGGAGTGATCTGGGGGAAGTTGGTCTAGTTTTGCATTTTGTTTTTATTGTTTTGTACTTATGCATTAATCTTATTTAGCATCTAAATATGAAATTTATCATACTTTAGAGGGGTCATGCAAATCCACACGGACAGAAGGAAACCCCAAAATTTCACACTGAAACTAGCGCACAGCCTACACATACTCCCAGAGTGATTTGCCTGATATGAGAATAATTCATATGTCTTGACACATACCCACCAGCGCCACTGGAGACATAGAACACTGCCGTTATGGCACCATTGGTAGTTGGTGTGAGTGTGTTTGTATGTTGAAGAAGAGCTGCAATTAACAAGTTTTGTTGTTGCTCTCTGCTTTAGTCGGATTTCCCCAGAGAAATTCTTGCTCTGCTTCATCTGACTGAGAAGTCTTAAACATGCATGCGTTTGTGTGTGTCCTTTATGTCTCTGTTTCCAATTCGGTATGAATAGTAATTGTGTGTGTGTGTGTGTGTGTGTGTGTGTGTCTAACATTTCACTAATGGTGTGTAATACTAGTTGAATAATAATGATGCTGCCCTGTGATCTGTGTTAATGAATAATCGACTTTATCCCAAAGTGACTAGAAAAAGATGTGTTGTGTTGTCTGTGTGCATCTGTCATTTGTGTCTTCACACTGGAATCACTGACAGTCTGTAAGAGTGTGTTTCTATATGAATATAAATGTTGTGTATGTACTCATACAGAGAAAATATCAAGATAAGAGCACAATAAATGTTTTTTTTTAGTTTACTGTTTACTCTAACTGTTTTTTTTAGTTAGTTTTGAAATCCCTTTACAATTTTTCTACATCATTAGAATTCTAAAATCCTTAAAGCAAAGATTTTTTTTTTTTGCAAAATCTTGTTCCAAAGGTTCTCTTTCACATTTATAGCATGCACATTGGATTAAAGCTGTGTTTGATGCCCTCTAGTTGAGATTTGTGTGGTGTACTGAGTGGGTTGCATAACTTGAATGACTTAAAACTTACATCTGACCTTTTTATATATGGGAAAATATAACAGAACAGACATTTACATTGCACATTAATGTCAGGCTTAGAGGTGTAGTTACATTGCTGGTACTATCCTCACAGCAGAGGATTAGTTGGGGAAATGCCACACTTGATTTATCGGATCTTTTTTCTATTAAAGGCCAAAGATTTTAGGCGCTCTTTTCATTTCATGGAAGTGTGAAACTGAATTCTTTGAGTACTGATTTATTGTCTCTTTGGAGAAAACCTGCTTGTGATGCAGTGTTTATATTTGCTTTCAGGATTGCCCAGTTAATTGTTTTTCCATGTGGGGAAAACGATAAACGACTTATTTATTATTATATAGTGTGGAACACACATGCACATCATATGTTGAGGAAATGCTCCGAGGTTCAGATTGTTTCAGATTCTAACAAAATATTCCTGTGCATCATTAACGTATACAAAATTGTATCTATTTTCATATCAACCTAAAGAGTCAAACATTCAAATGGAAAAATACTCTGGCTTCAATTACTTCAATATATTAGATTGTTACACATTTCTATGTTGTATCTGAATTTTTTAAACAGTTTATTGATAATGTTTCTTCTATCTGTCACAGGTTGATTTCCTGGCTTTGGAGATGCGAAAGGGGAAGGTGAATTTCCTCTGGGATGTGGGTTCAGGTGTGGGAAGAGTAGAATATCCCCATCACACCATCAATGATGGGAACTGGCATCGGATAGAGGCCTCTCGGTAGGAGCTTTGAGCATAGGCACCCTTGTTTCTCTGACATATCCATAAAAATTAAAGCCCCAATGATGGCTATGGACAAAGGTAGCAGGTCAGCTGATAAGAAAACTACCATAATGATAAAAACTAACAAACATATACACAAGACTGTACACCTTGGTTCCTTTTTACTATTTCATGTGTTTAGTTTTGACTGCTTGATAGCACATTTTTATAAAATAACCTGTATTTTTTTCTTTTACAAAATTCAGACATCATTTAACAAACAAAAGAAAATTGTAAGAGCAAAGATAAACCACCGGTAACCACGGGGCATTGTCTTACTCATGCTAGAGTGGAAAACACGCCATTGCACATGGGAAATCTAGAGGTTTGCAGCCTTGTCAGCCTGTGGCACATCATTACAAAGATACACAGTTACCCTTTTTTTCTCTTTCTAAGCTGCTGTGTTGTTATATACACACCATCCAGTACAAGACCCATTCAGACAAGGGTGGTTTCTCACCTGCTCCATGCATTTTCAATCTTAGTTTTCCCAAAGGTGTGTACCGTTGGGATCACAGAAGCTATCAGTCTTGAAAATGATCCCTTACATAATCCAGAAATGCTATTTCTGTCTTAAAATCCAACTCCAAGAGAGGTGGTTCATTTCAATTCGCAGCTCAGAGGCTCTGTAGCAACAAACTAGTCCCATACTATGTTTGTAATAGTCTTTAGTACCGAGAGATCTTAAAACTAGATTACAAGTGATTGTAATGTCTTGTCAAAGTCATTGTCCTCAAGGATGAACAAAATGGCTATCGTCAAACATCACACCCTTTCTTACTCTCTCCATCTACAGTAACGGTCTGAATGGCACCATATCAGTATATCCTCTAGAAGGCTCAATGGCTGGCATGCTGCCAACACCAGCTAGTGCCAATTCACCAACAGCGTACACCATTTTGGATGTCGATCAGAACGCCTACCTGTTTGTAGGAGGAATATTTGGCACTGTCAAGGTATTGATCTTTGAAAAACAAAATTTAAACCTGTCTGTTTTTCTTCTTTTGTAACTTTTTAACTTTGTCGTTTAGAAAGCAGAGGCAGTAAGAACATCAACATTCACAGGTTGCATGGGAGAGACTTTCTTGGATGGTAAACCTATTGGACTGTGGAATTACAGAGACAGACAGGGAGACTGTAAGGGCTGCGTGGTCAGGTATCTAACCAGAATGTCTTTATTTTCCATTTTATTCTATCTTTGTAATTTATAGTTAATTTTGAATATAATATTATATCATATTATCATGTTCTATACTATTAGTTCTGTAGTTCCTTGAATAGAAATAGATCTGTATGTTTTCATTTTTGTTTAGATGCCTCAATGTTTTATCGGTACGTGGATGGGAACAATTTTTTTTCTTTTTTAAAAATAATTGTTTGTGCTCTTGTAGCCCTCAGCGTACGGACGGTGAGGGTACGGTTCAGCTGGATGGTGAAGGTTATGCTGCAGTTGGGCGGCCTACCCGATGGAACCCAAATGTTTCCACCATCACATTCAAGTTCCGCACTTTCTCCTCTGATGCTTTGCTCATGTATCTCGCCACTGACGACATGGTACGTGCGCCACACACCTAAATGATGACGATGATGAATATAAAACTCTGATTATCACAGGTGTAAGGACGGGGAGTGCTGCCAATTAGTATTGTGCTGGACATCCGTTACATTGCAAAGCTCATTTACCAATTTCTCTAAAACCGATATTTATTATGTATAGTTGGTAATATTAAAAGAAAATCCCAAAGAAAACTATAAATTCCAGAAAAGGCCATTGTAATACAACATTTTAAAGCTGAAATGTAGGCCCATGTTATCTTCTTAATATCACATTATGAAAGCCTGAGCAGTTTAGTGTACTCGTGCACTTATCGGAAATAAAATGTACGTACCTCACAGCATGTCGTTTCTCAATGTTGCTCTTTACAGAAGGATTTCATGTCCCTGGAGCTGTCAGGAGGAAAGGTAAAGTTCAACTTCGACCTTGGATCTGGAGTTGGCAGTGCCATATCAGCCATCCGGCACAATGATGGCCGCTGGAAAGCCCTCACCATGTCAAGGAACAAGAAACAAGGTACATGCAAAAAGAAAGCAATGTAACAATAGTCTATAGTTTTATGTTTCAATTAATGCAGAAATATAATAAAGCAGGAGAAGTTAATTTTCATCCACGTGCTCCTTTTGCTTCGTGTCTTTACAAAGCCACTGTGACTGTAGTGGACATTGATGGCAGTGCTGAAGAAAAGATTGTGGCCACATCTCAAGGTTCAGCTACTGGTCTGAACCTGAGGGAAAACCAAAGTATCTATTTTGGTGGGGTGCCAACAATTGGAAACTACAGGTATACAAATGAATGAAGAATGCACACAATAATTGGACTAAAATGTATTTCTTTTTTGTCTTATGTAGAATGTTTTCAAAAGTAATAGACTGAGTCTTTGACCATTCCATAGGAGGCTGTGTTTGTATTGAATGAAATCATTCCATTGTGAAAAACATTGACATGCTTTACATGAATCATTCATTGAAGAGTTGATCTGAAGAGTGCTAATGCACAATATGTTTTGTTTTAACAGCATGGCTGCCAGGTAAATATAAAAGAATAAATTGATTTCTTTTTTTAAACACATGATTAAAAAATATATATAAATGTTTATTTTAAATCTATCACTGCATGACACTAGCCATGCTGACAATGCTGCACAGCCCATTGTGAATGTGCACATTTTCTTGGCCTGCATAAGAAGGTTCTTGCTTGATCATGTAGCAGCTGAAAATTTCTCTTCCTGTCCTGTCAGTCTTCTGAATTTGATGTTTATACAGAGTCATTTTGACCACACTTTAACCCAAGAACGTTAAAGATTTTGATGAGTCTAAAAAATAAAGCCTTAGCAGGATAATAAAACCATTTGAAAGATTTGTAACAAGCTAATGGAGATTTTATAATCTTTTTACTTTTCACTCTTGAATACTTTGTGTTTTCAATATTTGACACCAGAAATCTAAATGGATCGTTTCAAAGTAATACATATAAATCCCACCTCATTATGGAAGAGTAGCACATTCAGATTGTACCTGTTTGTCACCACGGTCCTTCTAGAATTATGATGTAATATTTTCAGTGCTGTTGTAATCCAGCTGTTTTCCTATGACGCTTTGCTGCAAAGAGACCAAAAAGTCAATATTTCAGCAATAAATATTTTTTATTAAAAACTTGGCATTTTCTTTACAGGTCAGAGGTAACTCTGAAAAGATATGCAGGCTGTCTCCGAGAGATAGAAGTTTCCAGAACTCCATATAATCTCCTCAGCAGCTCGGATTATACAGGGGTCACTAAAGGATGCAATGTGGAGGTATGGATGTACTCAACATCTAGTTGTCAACTCCACAAAGATGCTTGGATGGCTTTACGGAGGCATGTTTTTATTTATTTATTTATTTATCTCTTTATTTTTTGGAGACCAGTTGAATATCTGGGCACAATATATTGGCATTGCTATCATAAGACAGCATTGTGATGGGGGTATATGTGAGTAGGAAAGAGTAAATAGTTTGAGTAAATTTGGAAAACATGGAATTAACATACAGAAATGGGTTTATAAAGGCCTTGACATGTTTTAATTGCATGACCTCCCTCATGCTGACCCAGTCTTGACCCGGTATCTTAAATGATTTTTCAGTCAAGTGTGCTGCTTTCATTTGTCATTCACTCTGTCGCGGTTAACATTCAGTATTCATGCAGAGGTTGAAAGCTCTGAAAGATAAAGATTGATTTAAGCAGTCCACTTATCACATTCAGTCAACTAGATGTAATGATCATTTAATTCCTGACATACAATATACACATTTTTTTCTGAACACACAGTACTGTGTTTTTTGTGGAATTTCTATATTAATGCACTGCATTCACAATGAACTATATACACCAGGACTATTCATGCATGCAAAGATGTAGCCCACCTCAGACTCTGAAGATCTTAGAGAATTATAATGGCATTGATTTGTTTGGATGTTCAAGTTTTCCATTGCATGTGTGAATGTTTGAAAATGTATCGGATATGTTGTGCAGACATTAATTTTCTCATAGTCACCATGTCTTCAGTGGCGAGATTCATATGTCACACAGTGACTTCTTTTATTTTTCCATTACTTAAAAAAATTGCTTCTGAGTGAAAGATTTGGTTTGTTTGTGGAATAAAGTAATTAGTTATACCAGTCAAATGATTTGTAAGTTGATAACCAGTTTTGATATACTACAAAAATGATAATACCTACAATTGTGTTCTCTTAATGTTTCATCAAACCTTGGCTTCATTGAAATAACCATATCAAAGTCATCAAAGTTTTTTTTTACTTTCCCAGATGCTTATTTACTTATCTTCATGCAGGTTCAAAAATTGATGAAAACATTTCATCTATCTCACAGAACCTGTACACAGTGAGTTTTTCTAAACCAGGATACATGGAACTGAGAGGACTCTCGCTTGCGGTCAGCACTGAGATCAGCCTGTCATTCAGCACTCTGGCAGACACCGGAACCATACTATTGGCAGTGGGAGGAACTTCACCCCTCAACCTGCAGGTAGTTTTCTGGGAAAATCAAAAGCAAATTTTCTTTTTTGGTGGGGGTAGGGGGGGGGGGGGTCTATAGAATTTTATAATTCCTGGATACTAAATAATTTAAACCAGTACGTGAGCAGAGATAGGCTCAAGCCCCCACTCGACCCTGTTGGGGATAAGCTGTATAGAAGGTGTAGAAATTGGATGAATGGAAACAGGAATCTATATGAACCTCGAAACCTTTTGAATTTGAATATAGCAGACATTTTTCATGCAATTGGTGAAAACAGGCATGTAATTAACTGATTTTGTTAGTAGAGCTGTTTTCATACAGCTGAAAACCTGAAGTGACACTCCAATTCACGAGGTTCACACTTGAAGAGCCACATTTTTATGTTTGTCCCTTTTAAAAATATATTCTTGTAACTTTGGCAGGATTGAAAATGTATTTAGAAACATTATAAATCTAAGCGAGCCTCAAAATACATTTTCAACTATTTACAAAAAAAACAACACTGTCTTACACAGGTCCACAACTCAAAACCCCAAAGCTCTAAGAGGAGACGAAGACAATCGGGACAGGTGGGTAAACACATCAATGTGCAGCCAAATACTAAACTTCCGTTCCTTAAGTGACAGTTATATAAGTGCATATTAATGAGATTTGCATTTGTTGGCATGTTGACTAATTGGATTGTGTGTTATCCAAAATGCCTACCCCAGGTGATGCCAATTCACATCTGCACAAAGACACCTACACTTTAGGAGCTATAATTGCTGTCCACTGCACGGTGGTGATCTAAGGATTCAGCTGACTTTGCCAACACACATATACAATATCACAAAAACCTTTTCTCTAAGTGAATTAAGTTTCCATGAGTGCATATTAATGAGATTTGACTCTTTTGGCTTCTATAGTGATTAGATTGTTTCATAGCCAAAAACACTCCTGTTTGTTCATGCATGAAATGACACGCATCAATAATTTTACTTTCTAGTTTCGGCACACAAGTAAATGTGATAACAAAAAGGGATCATAGGCTCTTACTGAAGGTATATTTTTATACTTCTTTGTGTCTGTGTTTATATGCACGGTTCTAAAATAATGTACAGTGTGTGTGGAAATCTCTCACTGATGGAAGCACACACTCTGTTTTGAATCTGAGTGTGTATGTGAAGAGAGGGAGGACAGAGGGTTACGCAGGGCTTATCCATCATCACTGGTTGTTGGGCGCATAAATCTATTTTTACTAACTATGCTGGCAGGTACGGCGTGTGTGTCTGTGTAGAAAGGTGAAGCGAGGTTAAAAACACCATCAACTCAATGTGGCCCTGACTAATGGCTGCTTTAGAGAGGGACAGAGAGAAGGGGCAGTGGAAAGGGGGTGAATATAGGAGGAATAGAGTAGGGAGATTTAGAGGTGAAAGGAAGGATGGAGAGGAAAGATTAGATATGCAAAGATAGTCTATGACAAAGGGGGAAGTAAAAAAAAAATAAAGACATCGTGGACACAGCAGGGATTAAGGAGACTGAAACCAAATTGAAAGAAAAGATGTAAAAATGAAGATGGAAAAGATTTTTCTTCAATATTTGTAAAAAATTAGATGTGCTCACCACACTATCTGCTAGAAATGATGGTCAGAGTTAAGGGACAAATGAGAGATTTTCAACTCTGACTTGAACATTTATACTCAATGATTATCCAGACTAATTAGTGAGGAGATTAATACTGTAAATTGAGGGATTATAATGTTGAAGATGTATTAAGTACTTCTAAGATGGGACTTTTTTTCTTTCTGATATCAGAAGAAAGTTATTGCTTAAATGCACTTAAACAGAATACTTAATAATCAATACACTGATATAAAATGACAAAACATATTATCTTTGTGTTTTCACTAAAATATTGCAGTAATGTTAACCATGGATTTTTAGAAGTTGATACAGAAACCTGAAGAATGTGTTCATTAATGACTGAAGAATTACATTGAGGGCCATGTAGATTGGACTTTTTCTGTGTAGTTAAGTAGTTCTATCTTGATATTTCTTGCAGAGTAGTGGGTTAAAAACCATCATATCTCGTTTCGAATTACATCACAACCTTTTTGTGGTTAACAAAAGACTAGGCACTGATACAGAGTAGACTTGGCTAATGGAATTCAGTTATCTTGTGGTAATCATATCATGTGGTATAGTTTTAAAAACCTTGGTTTAGGCTGCCATTTGTTTGCAGCTCTCTGGCTGTTTTTGTAAATGAAATAACTGAAATCAGAAAATGTTTTAAGAAATTGTTACAAAATCCAGTGCTCGGTGTCATACATGTGATAGTTTAACCTGCGGGACTTGATCTGCAATCTACATACAGTTATGTTAGAATGAAATATGTAATTCAGAAAATTGTATACATTGAATACAAGTTTTGGTTCTGTCCTGCAGTGGGTTTTTGAAAGTATGCTGGGCCCATAGTCCTTTATTTCCCTTTGTGTGTGTTTTCTTAACTGAATTCATTTTTATGAGTCAGTGCATCTGTGATGGTATGCCTTTGTCGGCATGTTTGACATGTGTCTGTGGATGTGTGTGTGCTTTTGGATTTATGTTTTAGTGTGAGATGGTGCAGGCAGAGCCATGTTGTAGCTACATCTCGGTTCAATTTGTCCCCGACCTCAAATTGAAATTCCATTTTCAGGTGGTAAATTGTCTCCCACTTCGCCCTCTGGCACACAGTGAATTAAAATTCAAATTAGCCTGACCCTGCAACACTGCTCTCTAGCACCTCTGTGACTGTCTCACTCTTTCTCTCCCCATCTCTGTCTCACCGTTTTGCTCTCTGCCCTCTCATCTCTTCTCCCTGTTATCCTCTCCTCTCTGTTCTTCTCATCTGATCCTTTCCTCCCTGTTCTCAACTGCCTTCCTTATTTCCACTTCCTCCCCGTACATGCCATTTCTCACCAAAGTTTTCCTCTTTTGATTCTATCCTTTTTTAATCTTGTGTTCTTTTTTGTAATTCTCCTTCTCCATTCCTTCCTACATTCACCCATATAATACGGAGTATAATACAAGTCATTCCAGACGGCTATATTTTTTTATGGCTAAGCTGCTGTAAAGATTCAGTTAAAAGTGGAGTGTGTATGTGTAAATCCTCGTTTACAGTACGACGTGAGGCAGATGGCAGCTACCAGTAACTACAAATGACCTTTCATTCGGCTGTTGAAATTCTGGGGCTTGTATTGCTTTTTTATTTCATGGCTCTGGACAGCTCTTGCGGTTGGGGTGGGGAGGGAAAGGCCTGTTAACTGGATGGATAGTTTACCATTTTGAAAGGAACAATTATTATATTTTGTCACCCCCGAGCTCTCTGTACTCGAATGTTTAAGTTCACATTCAGGGGGTTTCTGTAAAGGAATCTTTAGTACAATTTTGTCTAACCTGCTGGTAGTGCCACTGAGCATAGTCATGTCAAAATGTTCTTTTTTCCATCCTGTTAACTCACTAAAATGTCTTCAACTCCGGCAGCCCTACATGTCAGTCATGCTGAACAAAGGCTCCCTCGAAGTATCTATATTTACGGGCAACCACAATTCCTACAATGTCATAAGACACCCAGAGCAAGGGATACTGAATGATGGCAGAGAGCACTCACTGCGCATAGAGAGGCTTCCTGGAAGGTTAGTGGTTGGAGATTTCTTCAGACTATTTGTACTCTCTGCTGCAGTTTTTTTTTTTTTTTTAACCCTTCAAAATGGTAACATTTCAAATAACATTTTCTGGTCTCTGTGTTCAAATAGATACTTTGCAGTCCAGGTGGATGAGGAGGCAAAGAGTAAGGCAGCGCTTCCCAATGACCAGCCAATCAGCCTGCACCGCATCTTCCTCGGTGGTATTCCCGCAGATGTGGAGCAGACAACCAACAGAGCAAACATCCCATTCCAAGGATGCATATGGAACTTGATGGTCAATGCTATGTAAGCTTTTTTCACA